TCATTGCATGTATACATGTATATGTACCAAAATAGGTTGAATGTCATTTTTGTCTATGATGATAAATTTCCTTACCATGAGTTTGTTTGTTTTAAGTGACAGCTCAGGCTGACAAATATCCTTTTTTGCCATTAGCAATTGGGCTCATTAGACCATCCTGTCTAGAGGCTGAGAGTAGGGAAAGGGAAGATCAGCAATATATGTCATGTTTCCATCAATAGCTTTCTGTGTGAGTGGTTGTGTGGTATATTTTTTAAAGCTAACATAAAAATCAGTGAGTAATTTAAGCAGGAGGGACTGGCTTTAACTGCAGCAGATAAACCAGTACAGCGAGGATCCTCAGGGAGGACATTCTTCTGAGTCCACAGTAGAATTCTGGTGAATGAGTTCTAATTTCTTCTTTGTTGTTGTTTTTTAGTCCAAGGGAGGAAATCTTTAAAATTATAGTACAGGGAAAGATCTGCTTTTTCAATAGATCTACCAGGTCGAAAAACAATAAAATGTAGGGTGCACGTAAAGCCACATTTTTCCCAAAGTGAGATCTCAGATGCAATTTTTAAAAACTTATTGGACCCTATGCATATTTATTGGTAGAGTATTAGGATACTGAATCTCATTAGTTACTACCTGGGAAATTCTCAAACAAGGTAAAGTGCCTTGGGAATACAATACTGGTGAATATAAGCATAGATTGCTGCACCCACCTTATGGCTGAGCTGTTTCTTCAAGAATTCAGTGAAGCAATCTGGAATCATAACTGCCAAGCCCAGCAGAAATTCACCTGCGCTGGCGTGCAGGGTTTTGTGTGGCAATAAGCATTTTTAATTAAAAGTTTCCCGGATGATTTGGAACTGAATCTGTAAACACGTGGCGGATTGAGCTAACACATCCAAGCACCATTGGCTCTTTGGGGGAAATATGGCTTTTAAAAAAATTGAATGGTTATGCTGAGGAAAATCCAGCTGTGTTTTACTTAACATCACACTAATCAGAGTTCTTTGACTCCTTTTTTTTTTTTTCTATCAGTCTATCCAGTGGTGTGTGTATTGGCTCCCCATCCCCCAACCCTTCACTTTTTTCTTTTAAGACTGATTTTAAGATAGGGAATACTTATTACTGTAGTGAGTAATTGAAGGCTTCTCTTGTCTTGTAGTTTATCTCTTAAATAGGTCAGAAGCAGCAGGTAATCTTCATCAGCAAAGCAATTAGATTGTTAACCCTTACCTATCACGTTGCTAGAGGCCTTGGAGTTTACATAGCAATCAAGGTTGTTTGCTCACCTTAAAACAAAAATGTAAAGAATATGATGTTCCTTAACTGAAAGTAAAATTGCTTCTGGAAAGCAGTTTCCCAATTAAACCAAGAAATAATTATATTGGAGCCCTGAATTATTCTTACATAGTGTTTGGGATGATGGGGGTTGGGGGTAGAAGTGCAGGTGGTGGGAAGAGAACCGTGGCTAGTCGTCAAGGGATTCGCAAGGTTCACTTTTCAAGGCTGGGTTCCTTGATGAAGGCCATTGTCAGACTGGACTGGGAAAAATGGCTTTAAACTCAAATTATTCTCTCAATAAATCCACGTTCTGCTTTACATTAGAGAAGTACCTGCAGTGGCATACAGGGCTGTTAAAACTCTCTACTTAGAAAATCTAAGAAAAATCCATTCACATGAAGGTACAGGAGGAGGTAAACATGATTTAGAGGGGACTTGAGTTACTAATGCTATTACATAGAAATATTTACCCAGATAATACCTTCCCCCAACCTCAAGCCATTCCCAGGCTGCTTGATCTTCCTGTTTACTGTAATCCTGCTTCTCTGGGAATTACTTCTGTCTTCCCGGAGACTTTCTTCCCAAAGAGGTAGGGCTTGCTTATTTATTCAGTAGTAATGTTGAACATCCCAGTGACCTTGGTGTTCAATTCATGGGTGTGAGGGTGTACATGTGTGTATACACACGTACATACGTGCTGAACAATAGGAGGTTCTGAACTACATATTAATAATTGCAATTTCAATACCGAGGAGAAGTTTTGAATTCTAATTCCAGATGTCTTGGTTGTAATATCTGTTGATGGCTGCATTTGGAAGTTAGACGTGAGTATCGAATTGAAATGAAATTTGTTCAGCATTGGAAATACAGTGAATAAGAATTTTATCCAATTTTCTCTTTTAAAAAAATTGTGTAATCCAGATAAGTTAATATAAAATACTATCTAGGGACACTAAACTAGGGTAAACACTGCAAAAGAAATAGAACAGATGTGAGAGAAAGATTGTTCTTGCAAGTGGGATGTAGCAAATACCTTCTAGTGGAGGGCAGGGAATCACGGAGGAGGCGAGCCAAAGCTCAGATTTGTCCCTGAGTTAAGAGATTCTCCTCCACCCACAGAGTTGCCTCTGTTTTTTTCCTACAGCCTTTGACTTTGAGAAACTCTGAGTGGAAATGAGTAGGGACGTTGCCATTCCTTCTTTCCTGTATTAAAATGGTCACATTCGCAGAGCATGCTCCCGAGTCCTTCAAACGATAGCTTCTCCCTGCTGCCTCCCAGCCCTGCTCTCCTTCTAGGTGGAGCACCATGGCAACAGGCCCAGCCTAGAGCCCAGAACCTTGTTTGTGTTACCTGAGGGGCTGGCTGGATGCAGCCTGAGGAAGAGAAGAAGGAATATTACCTATCCTGCTGCCTCTTTGGAAGATGACTTCATGTTGCCTTGTTTGGGTTTCTGTTCGACTTCTGTTGGAGACTTGAAATTACACCTGGAAAACATTTATCCAAAGATGTTATCAGTCACCGGAGGCAGCAGGGAAAGTCTCTTCTGTTGGTTCTTGTCTCCTAAGTAGAGAGTTGTTGTCTGAGGTAGCGCAGAAAGTGCCTCACGACGCCGGGACATGCGGCTCCGCTATGGTTTGGGGTTGCGCTGCTGGGTGGCTGTACAATTGCTTCATGTAGGTAGGCGTTTGTTCTGGTGAAAACAAAATTAATTTCTGTTTTGAGAATATTTTCCTTGAGAATTTTCAAAATAAAAGTAAGCCCTTTGTCAGACCTGCTTCGATTTCAAATAGGCCTTCATCTTTCCTATCGGGAGGCTCCTTCCCAGAGCACGAGCAGCTTTCCTTAGCCCTTGCTGGGAAAAAGGGGCTGCAATGATTGTTTTATATGTGTTTTAAAAACGTTGCAGTACCCTGTTCGCTCCACTGGCTCCCTATGAAACATACTGAGAAAGGTTATATGGTAATTATATGAAAGTAAAATTTGTTGTAGCCTTTAGTTAGAGTTGCGGTGCTGTGTTTGCAGTATATAACATGTCATTGTCTTGTCCAAGAGGACAAAGGGAAAGAAATGTCACCTTGTTATATTTTCATGTACAAAACATTCGGTGGCATTTGTCCCTTTTGTACATGCTTTGTATTATCCATGGGAAATACATATATTGGCTTTTTGACCTTAGGAAGGCTGCTGAGTATCAGAACACATGTTTTTCAGTGTAAACATTAAATGGTAGTTGTTTTTCATGTGTGTGGAAAGAAGAATGGATGCAACGTCTTACTACTTGAGGTGTTTCTTACTGTATGGAGCTTGATGAAACAGTGTGAGAATGGAAACAAAAGGCAAAGAGCTGCCTTTAGTGCTCGCTTCCTGTATCTCATTGCTTTATAATTTAACCAAAAGCCACTCTGATACTAATGTTAACGTAGTCGTTTCAAGGAAATAAGTGAAGCTCCTTATTTAATGTGTTTTCCAAAAACAAATGTCTTTACACAGGCATTTCTTTTTATCCCTATTCCTGGGTAGTTCTACTCGAAACATATATCTATTTAACTCTGGGTATTTTAGTCAATAAATTCTGTAATTACTGAGTAAAACTGCTTGGCTATCCAGTTCTGGATCTAAGAATATTTTACTTGGTATCATTTGACTTCGTTAATTCTTCCCAAGCTGGAAGGCAGCGAGGGGCCAGCTCCTGTCATGCAGGAGTCATTCCCAACATTCTTTTTTAAACAAACCATAAGAGACTCTTAATCTGAGGAAACAAACTGAGGGTTGCTGGAGTGGTGGGGGGTGGGAGGGAGGGGGTGGCTGGGTGATGGACACTGGGGAGGGTATGTGCTACAGTGAGTGCTGTGAATTGTGTAAGACTGATGAATCACAGACTTGTACCTCTGAAACATAATACATTATATGTTAATTAAAAATTAAAAAAATAAAACAACAACAAAAAAATTTTATAAACAACTGAGAAACAGAATCGGTCAGGATGCCTGAATGTTGTTGACAAAGATTTGTTCTTCTAGATGAGAGTTTGAACATTTCTTTCGAGGGTGGGAGGTTTCTTCGGGCGTTTTATTCTTTATTCATGTTTGTACAGTAAAGCATGGATATGACCAAATGCTTGCCAGAAAAGAATTCCGCATTGAGATGGAAATCAGATCTTTTGAAAGGCAGGGTCTTGTGCTGAAAAGTTTGGCTTTGACTCTGTGTGTGAGTGTGTTTATTCTGCCAAAGCAGAAAGAAACAGAATGAGGGTTCAGCCACTACTATTTTGTGAAGGAGAGAAAAGGTTCAAGCTATAACGTGAAAAAAAGAAGGAAAGAAATAAAACATGTCTTTTGATAATACCTTTGCATGAAAAAAGAATATATAAGCTACCTTGAATAGTATGTATTTCTTCATCTTCAAGATAGGAATGAGGATAAAAACAATGTCCCTAGTGGAGCTTTTTGAACTCCCTTGAGACTGGTAAAGTTATAATATGTTTTTGTGTTGTACTGAAAAAAAAAAGTGTGTATATGTGTGTACACACACAAATACATATGTGGTTTATATGTGCCATGTGACTATGGCTACTATTATTATTATTATGGATTAACTATTAATTTGCTCCTTATTTCCTTTTCCCTTAGGAATTTATACATTTGTTGTTAGCTTCCAGTGCATTAGTCCTTCATTTTCTTGTAGGCCAAGTAGTTACACTGTCTAAAATATCTTTTTCTACTTTTAGGGCTCGTGGTCTGCCTAAACTAAAAGAGTCACGTTCCCATGAGTCCTTGCTGAGCCCTTGCAGTGCAGTGGAATGTCTGGATCTTGGCAGAGGAGAGCCTGTATCAGTGAAACCTCTCCATAGTAGCGTCCTTGGACAAGACTTCTGCTTTGAGGTAAAAAGTATAGAAAGAAGGAAGAGAGGTTAAACACCAAACATTTTCTATCCAGTAATTTTATGATTTCATTATTATGGTATTGATGATTTGATCGTCTTAAGTGACTTTCAGTTGCTGAAAATTGCCTACTTATAGGAAAATGTTGGAAATCTATTAATCTAATTATATTGGTCATTAAAGTTATTGATGATGGCTTCTCAATCCTTTTGGCCTAGTCTGCTTTCAAAATAAATGGGTTCTTATTATATTCTCGGCAGAGGTCACAAGCCTAACAATAACTTAACTGAGTTGGTATTTTAATTTTTTCATTTTTTTTTCCTTTTTTAACACTTTTTATTCTTTTATTTATTTTTTTATTATGTTCAATAATTTTTTAGTTTTGATAAAGATATCACCCACTGTGTTATCTTTCTCCTGAAAACCTAAGCCCCCAATTTTAATGATTCTTTGAGAAGATTAACCCAAAACCATAATTTTTCTAACTACAACCTGGGCAGTTCAAGATCTGAGGCTGTGTCTTATTTATTTTTGTAATCCCCTGCACACAGCCCGGTCCCTGGCACATTGCAGGTACCTAATTTCTTGAATGAATAAATTGCTCTTCACCAATAAATTATGACCATCACTTTTTATAAGGTAATTTCTCCCTCCCAAACTAAATATACACAATTGACCATTTGTAATTTAAAGTGTAAAACTACATATAAATACACACACACATACGTATACATACATATATATTATATTACATACATATATGTATGTATGTATGATTGTTAGGGTTAAGATTTAATTAATTAACATGAACTTACTAAGTGACTAATACGAATCCTGTGATAGATCGTGTAGGAGTTGAAAGGTGTTTGACCCCTGTTCTTATGGATCTACCCTGTCCAACAGAAATATAATGCTAGCCAAATATGTAATCTAAAATCGAAAATTTTAGTAAACCCAAATATCATCATTTTAACAGGTAACTAATATAAAATTATCAATGAGATTTTTTTACATTCTTTTTTTTTTTTTTTTAAGCTAAGTCTTCAAAAGCTGATGTCTATTTGACGTTTACAACACATCTCGTTTTGGACTAGCTGCATTTGAGGTGTTCACTAGCCACATGTGGCTAGTAGCTACCATACTGAACAGTACACATAATCTGATCTGATTCACTAGGTTGTACCCATAGATTGAGTTAATATGTGAGCATACTCGAAATATTCGAACAGGTCAGTTATTGGTGTTCTTTTTTACAAAAGTCACGTGGATTTTCCCTATTTGTGGAGCTCAGTTCAACAGGCTGTGTACCAGGCCCAGTGTTAGGTGCTAAGTATATAAAGAGCATAGTTCATTTTTAAAGGACAACGATAATAGTGGTCAGTAACTGGAAATGAACAAGCCGGTTGCCTAGTGGAGGAGAAATGGATTCCAAAACATTAATTCAGTACTGCTAATTCTTCTCACTTTCATGGAGTACCCTTTCTGTAATATTATAGCGAAGGCAGTCCCAAGAAATTTGACAAGCTATTTTAGAGGCTCTCTTGCATTTTCAGTTATTATTTTCTTAATTCACTCAGGATTGAGTGTATTTGTTTTCAAGCCTGGAAGGTTTTTAATTTTTGATCTTTCCGAACCAAAGGCCAGTTTTAGTTTCCTGACCTGAATTCTCAATGGTTTTTGTTCTCCTACCCAGAAATGAGTGCGGATGCTCCCTACGTGAGAGAACAAAAAGTAGATGCAGATGTAGAATAGAGATATCACAGAACTACCAAATATCATTTCCATTTTGTGTGTTATGATTTGGGTTCATAGCATATTCCTAACTCATAAATGATAGAATTACAAAAATAGAGCCCCCAAACCCTGTTTCCTTTTCCTAATCTCTAATCTTTATGTTGAAGGTTACGTACTTAAGTGGAAGTAAATGCTTCAGCTGTAACTCTGCTTCAGAGAGAGATAAGTGGATGGAAAACCTTCGTAGGACAGTTCAGCCAAATAAGGTAACAGTGGCTTTGAGTGTCTAAGAAACGTCTAACTCTGTAAGCAGTAAGTTGATAGAAAATAAATGAGGCAATCACACCTTAATTTTTATTTACGTGTTATGCCACTTTACACTCAAAATAATCTTATTGCAGATATTTTTGTGATTTTACCGGTGTGGGTAAGAAGACTCAGAAGTTACATCACGTGCCCAGGTCGGAAGCTGGTGCATGACAGAAGTGGGACTAGAACACTAGTTTCTTAACTACTTATCCCTTCTTTTATTTGCATAAATTGGGCCAGTTGCTACTAGACTGGCTATATTAGAACTTACATTACAGGATGATATTTTTTTTAACCCAAGTAAATTGAGTGTATGAGGCTAAGATTCTAATATCTTCTTATTTAGAGCTTGCTATTATCCTGAACAAAGGGAAAGCAATCCCTTTCATTATTTAATGACTACCCTTAATAAAGTGCCTGGTCAGTATCACCTACTTTAAAAGGAAAATGTTGTTTTTCTGGGACTTCAGCTTTCCAACTCTACTTTGTTGCTTTTTTATAGGACAATTGCAGACGAGCTGAAAATGTTCTTCGTTTATGGATCATTGAAGCCAAGGACCTTGCCCCTAAAAAGAAATATTTCTGTGAACTGTGCCTTGATGATACCCTCTTTGCTCGTACAACCAGCAAGACCAAAGCAGATAATATTTTCTGGGGTGAACATTTTGAATTCTACAGCCTTCCACCTCTTCATAGCATCACAGTTCACATTTATAAAGATGTGGAAAAAAAGAAGAAAAAAGACAAGAATAATTATGTAGGGCTAGTCAACATTCCCACTGCCAGTGTGACCGGTCGCCAATTTGTAGAAAAGTGGTATCCAGTGAGTACCCCTACACCCAACAAAGGAAAGACAGGAGGACCTTCTATTCGGATTAAATCACGTTTCCAAACTATCACCATTCTGCCTATGGAGCAATACAAAGAATTTGCAGAATTTGTCACCAGCAACTACACCATGCTGTGTTCTGTCCTTGAACCAGTAATTAGTGTGAGAAATAAGGAGGAGTTGGCCTGTGCCTTAGTGCACATTCTTCAGAGTACTGGTAGAGCCAAGGTAAGTGGAAAAGGAGGGCTGCATTAGCCAAAATCTCTTCCCTACCTTTTATGAAGAAGCATATATACTATGTTTCATGTATAGATCCAGACTGGAGAAGTATGCTTTGCTATTGGTTAAAAAAAAAAAAAAATTAGGAAGGAAGTCTAATAGTAGTAGTAGTAGATCCAGGGATTGGGGATTATAAAACAAGGAAGTAACATGGAGAAACGAGCAGATATTTATTTAAAGTCCATTTGCATGAAACATAGACACCAGGGCGAGCTCTTCATTGTCTGGCGGAAGAAATGGTACCATTGGTGTGCTAATCCTACAGTGTGTTCAAGATTAGTTCCAGAGTGTGCTGAATGATGGTTATACTCCTTCCTATACTTTAAGATTAACTGATGACTCTATTCCCTAGTCACAGAAGGAGGTATTCCAGAAGCCCAGTAGGCATCAACAAGAGTCTTCATGGAATTAAAATACCAAGGGATATTGATTAGTAGCTGTTTCATGATAATCTTAACCTCATTTCATCCTGGATAGAAGTAAAAATTCAGGAATTTGGAAAAAGAGAAATATGCTAATTATATGAAGAAAACCAACCAACTGATAGTCTTTGATCAGCCTAAACTATGATAATTACCATCTCTGTGAGGCATATTCGCTAGGCCGAGTCTTCATTATATTGTATGCAAATGGATCACGGTAAAATTGTATTTTAGATCTAGAGTTCACAGAATAATTTATTTAGAACCAAACAATAAAAGTAAGTGCTTTTAAGATTTCATGATACAAATCAGAATAATATATCAGTATATTCAATCTACAGTCCCTTATCTAAATGCCTTCCTACTGATTATCATTTTTGTAGTTGAAAGTTTTGATTATAATTTTGAGTTTTCTAGTGTTACAAACGCGTATGAGTTTGGGATGAGGTGCCATTGAAATTTTGAATTTCATCTTGAAAAGTGTATGGATATGTTCATTCTGCTCTTCCATTGCTTAAGGTTCAAGATATGTATATATATATCATATACGTATATGATATATATATCATATACGTATATGATATATATATTTTTTAATTCTTATGTTAATCCCCATACATTACATCATTAATTTTAGATGAAGTGTTCCATGATTCATTGTTTGTGCATAACACCCAGTGCTCCATGCAGAATGTGCCCTCCTCAATACCCACCACCAGGCTAACCCATCCTCCCACCCCCCTCCCCTCTAGAACCCTCAGTTTGTTTTTCAGAGTCCATCGTCTCTCATGGTTTGTCTACCCCTCCGATTTCCCCTGCTTCATTCTTCCCCTCCCGCTACCTTCTTCTTCTTCTTTTTTTTTTCTTAACATATATTGCATTATTTGTTTCAGAGGTACAGATCTGAGATTCAACAGTCTTGCACAATTCACAGCGCTTACCAGAGCACCTACCCTACCCAGTGTCTATCACCCAGTCACCCCATCCCTCCCACCCCACCCCCCACTCCAGCAACCCTCAGTTTGTTTCCTGCGATTAAGAATTCCTCATATCAGTGAGATCATATGATACATGTCTTTCTCTGTTTGACTTATTTCACTCAACATAATACCCTCCAGTTCCATCCACGTCGTTGCAAATGGCAAGATCTCATTCCTTTTCATGGCTGCATAATATTCCATTGTATATATATATATACCACATCTTCTTTATCCATTCATCTGTCGATGGACATCTTGGCTCTTTCCACAGTTTGGCTATTGTGGACATTGCTGCTATAAACATCGGGGTACATGTACCCCTTCGGATCCCTACTTTTGTATCTTTGGGGTAAATACCCAGTAGTGCAATTGCTGGATCATATGGAAGCTCTATTTTCAACTTTCTGAGGAACCTCCATACTGTTTTCCAGAGTGGCTGCACCAGCTTGCATTCCCACCAACAGTGTAGGAGGGTTCCCCTTTCTCCGCATCCCTGCCAACATCTGTCGTTTCCTGACTTGTTAATTTTAGCCATTCTGACTGGTGTGAGGTGGTATCTCATTGAGGTTTTGATTTGGATTTCCCTGATGCCGAGCGATATTGAGCACTTTTTCATGTGTCTGTTGGCCATTTGGATGTCTTCTTTGGAAAAATGTCTGTTCATGTCTTCTGCCCATTTCTTGATTGGATTCTTTGTTCTTTGGGTGTTGAGTTTGATGAGTTCTTTATAGATTTTGGATACTAGCCCTTTATCTGATAGGTCATTTGCAAATATCTTCTCCCATTCTGTCGGTTGTCTTTTGGTTTTGTTGACTGTTTCCTTTGCTTTGCAAAAGCTTTTTATCTTGATGAAGTCCCAATAGTTCATTTTTGCCCTTGCTTCCCTGGCCTTTGGCGATGTTTCTAGGAAGAAGTTGCTTCGGCTCAGGTCGAAGAGGTTGCTGCCTGTGTTCTCCTTTAGGATTTTGATGGACTCCTGTCTCACATTGAGGTCTTTCAACCATTTGGAGTCTATTTTTGTGTGTGGTGTAAGGAAATGGTCCAGTTTCATTCTTCTGCATGTGGCTATCCAATTATCCCAACACCATTTGTTGAAGAGACTGTCTTTTTTCCATTGGACATTCTTTCCTGCTTTGTCAAAGATGAGTTGACCATAGAGTTGAGGGTCCATTTCTGGGCTCTCTATTTTGTTCCATTGATCCATGTGTCTGTTTTTGTGCCAGTACCATGCTGTCTTGATGATGACAGCTTTGTAATAGAGCTGGAAGTCCGGAATTGTGATGCCGCCGACTTTGCTTTTCTTTTTCAACATTCCTCTGGCTATGCGGGGTCTTTTCTGGTTCCATACAAATTTTAGGATGATTTGTTCCATTTCTTTGAAAAAAGTGGATGGTATTTTGATGGGGATTGCATTGAATGTGTAGATTGCTCTAGGTAGCATTGACATCTTCACAATATTTGTTCTTCCAATCCACGAGCATGGAACGTTTTTCCATTTCTTTGTGTCTTCCTCAATTTCTTTCATGAGTATTTTATAGTTTTCTGAGTACAAATCCTTTGTCTCTTTGGTTAGATTTATTCCTAGGTATCTTATGGTTTTGGGTGCAATTGTAAATGGGATCGACTCCTTAATTTCTCTTTCTTCTGTCTTGTTGTTGGTGTATAGGAATGCCACTGACTTCTGTGCATTGATTTTATATCCTGCCACTTTACTGAATTCCTGTATGAGTTTTAGCAGTTTTGGGGTGGAATCTTTTGGGTTTTCCACATAAAGTATCATATCATCTGCAAAGAGTGAGAGTTTGACTTCTTTGCCAATTTAGATGCCTTTGATTTCTTTTTGTTGTCTGATTGCTGTGGCTAGGACTTCCAATACTATGTTGAATAGCAGTGGTGATAGTGGACATCCCTGCCGCATTCCTGACCTTAGGGGGAAAGCTCTCAGTTTTTCCCCATTGAGAATGGTATTTGCTGTGGGTTTTTCATAGATGGCTTTTATGATATTGAGGTATGTACAATCTATCCCTATACTCTGAAGAGTTTTGATCAAGAAAGGATGCTGTACTTTGTCAAAAGCTTTTTCTGCATCTATTGAGAGGATCATATGATTCTTGTTCTTTCTTTTGTTAATGTAATGTATCACATTGATTGATTTGCGGATGTTGAACCAACCTTGCAGCCCAGGGATAAATCCCACTTGGTCATGGTGAATAATCCTTTTAATGTACTGTTGGATCCTATTGGCTAGTATTTTGGTGAGAATTTTTGCATCCATGTTCATCAGGGATATTGGTCTGTAATTCTCTTTTTTGATGGGGTCTTTGTCTGGTTTTGGGATCAAGGTAATGCTGGCCTCATAAAATGAGTTTGGAAGTTTTCCTTCCATTTTTATTTTTTGGAACAGTTTCAGAAGAATAGGTATTAATTCTTCTTTAAATGTTTGGTAGAATTCCCCTGGGAAGCCATCTGGCCCTGGGCTTTTATTTTTTGGGAGATTTTTGATGACTGCTTCAATTTCCTTAGTGGTTATAGGTCTGTTCAGGTTTTCTATTTCATCCTGCTTCAGTTCTGGTAGTTGATACATCTCTAGGAATGCATCCATTTCTTCCAGGTTATCTAATTTGCTGCCATAGAGTTGCTCATAATATGTTCTTATAATTGTTTGTATTTCTTTGGTGTTGGTTGTGATCTCTCCTCTTTCATTCATGATTTTGTTGATTTGGGTCATTTCTCTTCTCTTTTTGATAAGTCTGGCCAGGGGTTTATCAATCTTGTTAATTCTTTCAAAGAACCAGCTCCTAGTTTCGTTGATCTGTTCTACTGTTCTTTTGGTTTCTATTTCATTGATTTCTGCTCTGATCTTTATTATGTCTCTTCTCCTGCTGGGTTTAGGCTTTATTTGCTGTTCTTTCTCCAGCTCCTTTAGGTATAGGGTTAGGTTGTGTACTTGAGACCTTTCTTGTTTCTCGAGAAAGGCTTGTATTGCTATATACTTTCCTCTTAGGACTGCCTTTGCTGCATCCCAAAGATTTTGAATAGTTGTGTTTTCATTTTCATTGGTTTCCATGTATTTTTTTAATTCTTCTTTAATTTCCTGGTTGACCCATTCATTCTTCAGTAGGATGCTCTTTAGCCTCCACGTATTTGAGTTCTTTCCGACTTTCCTCTTGTGATTGAGTTCTAGTTTCAAAGCATTGTGGTCTGAAACTAGGCAGGGAATGATCCCAATCTTTTGGTACCGGTTGAGACCTGATTTATGACCTAGGATGTGATCTATTCTGGAGAATGTTCCATGGGCACTAGAGAAGAATGTGTATTCCGTTGCTTTGGGATGGAATGTTCTGAATATGTCTGTGAAGTCCATTTGGTCCAGTGTGTCATTTAAAGTCTTTATTTCCTTGTTGATCTTTTGCTTAGACGATCTGTCCATTTCAGTGAGGGGGGTGTTAAAGTCCCCCACTATTATTGTATTGTTGTCGATATGTTTCTTTGCTTTTGTTATTAATTGCCTTATATAATTGGCTGCTCCCATGTTAGGGGCATAGATATTTACAATTGTTAGATCTTCTTGTTGGATAGATCCTTTAAGTAGGATATAATGTCCTTCCTCATCTCTTATTACAGTCTTTGGTTTAAAATCTAATTTGTCTGATATAAGGATTGCCACCCCAGCTTTCTTTTGGTGTCCATTAGCATGGTAAATGGTTTTCCACCCCCTCACTTTCAATCTGGGGGTGTCTTTGGTTCTAATATGAGTCTCTTGCAGACAGCATATCGATGGATCTTGTTTTTTAATCCAGTCTGATAGCCTGTGTCTTTTGATTGGGGCATTTAGCCCATTTACATTCAGGGTAACTATTGAAAGATAGGAATTTAGTGCCATTGTATTGCCTGTAAGGTGACTGTTACTGTATATTGTCTGTGTTCCTTTCTGGTCTATGTTGCTTTTACGCTCTCTCTTTGCTTAGAGGACCCCTTTCAAGATTTCCTGTAGGGCTGGTTTCGTGTTTGCAAATTCCTTTAATTTTTGTTTGTCCTGGAAGCTTTTTATCTCTCCTTCAATTTTCAATGACAGCCTAGCTGGATATAGTATTCTTGGCTGCATATTTTTCTCATTTAGTGCTCTAAATATATCCTGCCAGTCCTTTCTGGCCTGCCAGGTCTCTGTGGTTAGGTCTGTTGCCAATCTAATGTTTCTACCCTTGTAGGTTACATATCTCTTCTCCCGAGCTGCTTTCAGGATTTTCTCTTTGTCTATGCGACTCATAAGTTTTACTATTAGATGTCGGGGTGTTGACCTATTTTTATTGATTTTGAGAGGGGTTCTCTGTGCTTCCTGGATTTTCATGCCTGTTTCCTTCCCCAAATTAGGGAAGGTCTCTGCTATAATTTGCTCCATTATACCTTCTGCCCCTCTCTCTCTTTCTTCTGGGATCCCAATTATTCTAATGTTGTTTCGTCTTATGGTATCGCTTATCCCTCGAATTCTACCCTCGTGATCCAGTAGTTGTTTATCTCTCTTTTTCTCAGCTTCTTTATTTTCCATCATTTCATCTTCTATATTACTGATTCTCTCTTCTGCCTCATTTATTCTAGCAGTTAGCGCCCCCATTTTTGATTGCACCTCATTAATAGCCTTTTTGATTTCTACTTGGTTGGATTTTAGTTCTTTTACTTCTCCAGAAAGGGTTTCTCTAATAACTTCCATATTTTTTTCAAGCCCAGCTAGTATCTTTAAAGTGATGATTCTGAACTCTAGATCTGACATCGTACTAATGTCCGTATTCATTAGGTCCCTGGCAGTCGGTACTACCTCTTGTTCTTTTTGTTGAGGTGATTTTTTCTGTCTTGTCATTTTGTGTAGAGGAGAATAGATTAATGAGAGAACAAAATGCTAGCCGAGTAACAACGTCCCCAGGAAATATACTCTAAACAAATCAGAAAAGACCTGAAGCAGTGGAACAAGAAACGGAAAGAGAGAAAAAAGATAAAGAAGAAAAAGATAAAGATAAAAACAAAAACAAACAAAACAAAACAACAACAACAACAAAAAAACCAGAATGTGATCAAATATGATCAGGCTGGTATATAGATCAGTGCCACACACTAGATTTGGGGTGTATTTTGGTCTTTTAGAAGAAAGTGCCTCCCAAAATTTTAAAGAAAGAAAAACTTATATATGTATAAAAATAAGGGTTGATATGATGAAGGGATGGAATATGACTGTAAAGATGGAAATTATAAAAAATTTTATAAAAGGAATTGATAAGAAGTTGTTTGAAAAAAGAAAGAAGAGGATTTAAAAAAAGAAAAAAGAAAAAAAAAGGAGAGAATGTGATCAGGCAGGGGAATAGTAAACACCATATACTAGAGATTTAGGGTATATTTTAATGTGTTAGAAGAAACTATCTCAAAATTTAAAGAGAGAACAACTTATATATATAAGCCAAAAATACGGGTAACTACTATGAAGGGATAGAATATGACTCTAAAAATGAAAAATAAAAAAAAAATTTTTTTAAAAAGGGATTGATAAGATGTTGGTTGAAAAAGGGAAAAAGAAAAATTCAAAAAAAAAGAAAAAGAGTTAAAAAAAATTAACTTTGAAAGACTAAAGAATCATGGTAAAAAAGCCATGAATTCTATGTGCAGTATTCCCCTAGCGCTGGAGTTCTGCCATTCTCATTGATCGGTGAACTTGGTCTTGGCTGGCTGTTCTCGCTGATCTTCTGGGGAGGGGCCTGTTGCCGTGGTTTCCAAATGTCTCTGCCAGAGGCGGAATTGCCCCACCCTTGCCCCTTCCCGGCTAAGTAATCTGCTCGGGTTTGCTCTCTGGGGCTTTTGTTCCCTGCGAGCTTTCCGTCCAGCTTTGGAGGCGGAGAGTGAAAATGGCGGCCTCCCAATCTCTGCCCCAGAGGAGCCGAGAACTCAGGGCCCCGCTCCTCAGTGAGCCCCCAGAGAAAAGCCGTCAGTCATTCCCATCTCCCCGGTCTCCGGCCGCACTCCGTGCTCACCTGGCCTGTGACCGCGCGTTTCTATCTCTGGCACCGGACCCCGGGTGGAGTCTCCAAACCCAGCAGATCCCTGCGGTGCACTCCCGCGCCGCTCCTCCCGGGGGAGGAAGGTGAGTCTCCCCGGATCTGCCGCTTGTTGGGTCCCTGCTGGAGGAGCAGTGGCCCGACTGTGCCACGGATCACGGTTTATGGCCACCCCAAGCTGAGAGCCCGCACCTGGGCTCTGCCTCTGCAGCCGGCTTCCCTGCTCCGTTACCTGGGAGCTCTGTCACACTCAGGCACCCCCGGTCTTTCTGTGACCCCGAGGGTCCGGAGACCACACTGTCCCGGAGGGTTCCACCCCTCGCTTAGCCACCAGAGTGACATCCCTCGGCGGAGCAGACTTTTAAAAGTTCCGATTTTGTGCTCCGTGGTTCTATCACTTGCCAGAAGCGGCCGACGGAGGCCCCTCCCCCGCCGTCTATCCTCCCGAATATCGCCTCGGATTCACTTCTCCGCACATCCTACCTTCCAGAAAGTGGTCACTTTTCTGTTCAGAGAGTTGTTGCTATTCCTTTCTTCGATCTCCTGTTGAGTTTGTAGGTGTTCAGAATGGTTTGATCCCTATCCAGCTGAATTCGTGAGAGGAGATGAAATCCAGGTCTCCTACTCCTCCGCCATCTTGCTCCGCCTGTATATGATATTTTTTAAACAACTTTATTGAGGTACAGTTTATGTACAATACACCCATTTTAAGTGGAAAGTGCAATGAGTTTTGACATATTATGCACCCATGGAAACCACAACAGTCAAGTACAAAATGTTACCATCACCCCCATAAGTTTCCTCCTGTTCCTTAGCACATGAATTGTAATAGTGATTCCTATATCTGTAACTCTTACTTTGTTGAGCTGCCACAGAGTAAATCCCCTTAATGTTCAAAATGCTTAATTTTCAAGTAAAAGTAAATCAACATATTTCCTTTGTTTTTGGTTTTGGAGACTTTGAAATATCCAATGAATATATAACATTCCACATATGATGTTACAGCGTTTAAACTAAAGAATAATAAACATTGAATTTTACATCAAGTTAATCTTTAAGACTATTGAGAAATGAACCAACTATTCCTTAAGGGCTTTATTTCTCCTTATGCCTTTTTTCTGGATAGATGGGTGGATGGATGGATGGATGGATGGATGGATGGATGGATGGATGGAGATACATAGATGGATAGATAGACAGATAGACAGATAATCAGCCTAGAAAATGAGTTCAAGTGTTAAGTTTAAGAAATTCCACGTTAACACCATGGACCAATTTATAACTATTATATATTGAACATCTAATATGTACCAGAAACTGTTAAATGCTGAAGATCTGGAAATGACTAAAAATAGACATTGTCTTTGGCCTCATGGGGTTTACAGTCTTCTGGGGGAAAACAGATAATAATTAAGTACTTACAGAAGTAAATGTGTGATTACAGTGAGAAATGCAGAGGGGGAAAAATATATGGCACTATGAGAGTGGGGAATAGGAGACCTGACTGATGCTGGTTCAGAGAAGGCTTCACTGAAGAAATGACGTACAAATGAGGATCCAAAGGATTTGAGGAATTAACTCCATGACAGTGAGGGCAGGAGCGAGGGTAGGAGTGAAGCAGAACAGCATTTGCAGAAGCTTTGTGGTAAATAGACGGCATCATGTGTTAGAAAGGGCTTGGTGTTATTCGAGGGCCTAAAGAGAAGCCCCTTGCGGCTGGAATGGAATGCAGAGAGAATGGTATACGAGGAGGCTGGGAAGGTGGACAGAAACCAGAAAATATAGGGACTCGTGGGCCGCGTGCAGAAGTATGGTCTTTATCAAAAGTGCAATGGAAGACCTTTGGAGGAATTTTAAACTTCGGGTTGGGGTGATTAAGCTTTTATCCTGATGGACTTTTTTCTTTCAAATGAATCAGGCAGCTTTAGTTTTAAAGCAGCATTCCCAGGATGTCCGATATTTCTTCAGTTTCTTGCAATGTGTATTACTTATTCATTTGCTTTGTGCCTCATTGAACGTTTTTCTACCAGGATTTTCTCACCGACTTGGTGATGTCTGAGGTGGATCGCTGTGGAGAGCATGACGTCTTGATCTTCAGAGAGAACACCATTGCCACCAAATCCATTGAGGAATACCTTAAGTTGGTGGGACAACAGTATCTTCATGACGCATTGGGTATGGAGAAGAAACGCATTGTTTTTTTTTGCCTTTTGATTTTGTTATTTCACCCTCATAGGACAAACAAATTGAGCTCAAATTCAGCATGTTACTTAGTTCTAGCTGACGAGAGTGTTAAAGTTTGACTTTCAGTTGTAAGTCTCTCTAGTACTCACAAGTAGTACTGCTTTATTACATGTTGATTTATTCCAATATGTACAGAAAGAGAAAGCTCATCAACATATGCAGCTACCCCCAGGACCCTCAAGTTCTTGACACTAAGATACACAATATGAGTGGATGTCACTACTAGATCTGAGGGTACCTGTTTCCCCCAAAGTGTTGATTATTTACGTTATGATATAAATATATTACTGAAATCTTGAAAATGTTAACATTTGTTATCATGCATCAAAAGGTAAAAAAACTCTTGCCAGTTCCCACAACTCCTAATTTCTGCCTTCAAGATCTCTAGAATTTTTAATAATTACTACATTTTGCCCAATCAGTAGTTCTTTTTTTCTTTTTTTTTAAGATTTTATTTATTTATTTGACAGAGACACAGCGAGAGGGGGACCACAAGCAGGGGGAGTGGGAGAAGGAGAAGCAGGCTTCCCACAGAGCAGGGAGCCTGATGTGGGGCTCGATCCCAGGACCCTGGGATCACGACCTGAGCCGAAGGCAGATGCTTAAGTGACTGAGCCACCCAGGCGCCCCTACCAATCAGTAGTTCTTGCTGACTAGGGCACTTACCTGGAATTTCAGATCTGGTCATGAAATTCAGGCATTAACACCACTAGAGTAAGGCACTGTGCTGGGTGACATACATCATGATAAAGCAGACACGAGTTTCTTGAAGAACATAGTCATTTCTTTTATCTTCATATCCCTAGTACTTCCCACAGAATGTAGAGCAGCACCATCGTATGGAAACATAATGTGAATGATTTAAATTTCCTAGTCGTCACAGAATGAAAAGGGTAAAGAGAAATAGGTAAACTTAGTTTTAATAACATTATAGTTAACCCAGTATATCCAAATGTTATTTAGCAGGTTATCAATATAAAAATTATTAGTGAGGCATAATACTTTTTTTCATACTAACTCTTTAAAATTTGGTGTGTATTTTGCATTTGTTACACATTCCAATTGGCGCTAGCACATTTCAAGTGCTCAGTAGTCACATGTGACGGTCAAGAGTAGACAGTAAGTTATGTTGAATGAATGGAGAGATTTTTGCCCTCAAGGAGTTTATAAGATAGGGAGATGAGAAAGATAAGGATATCCTTATAACCAAAAAGAGAGAGACGGAGATCCTGTGCTTTTCCAAAGAATTAAAGAAATTAATTCTAGCTGATGGAATTATGAAATTTCCCATGTAAGATACATAAATAGTGTGTGTGTAGCTTGGAGAGTAGAAAGGTTATATAAAAACAGATATTGGACAAGGGAAATAGCAGGAATTGGCAGAGGGGAAAGAACCACACGGACAAAAAGGCATAAAGGTATGAGAGAACCAGGCATGTATGAAATAAAATTAATTAGCTGAAAAATGAAATAAGTCAACAACAACAAAAAAAGATTAGAAAAACAATTAGAACCAATTTGTTGAGAGCCTTGAGTGCTGGGCTGAGGAGTTTAGATTTTACAGTAATCACTGGTGAGCCACTGTAAGTTTTGAGCAGGGTATTTTCAAGAGAATTAGTTTAACAAAATGATTAAAATGTGTTGGTGAAGAAAGCGACTGAAAAGAGATACCAGTTAAGAAGCCATTGTAAGAAGGAAGGCAGGAAATCAGGAGCCTCTGAATGATGTGATCACCAAGAATAAGAGGAAAGGGGGATCTGAGAAATATTAAAGAAGTTGAGCTGAGGGAACATGGCAACTTGTCAATTTGTGAGAATGGGCCGGGGTAGGAGTTGGAAACCAGCTATTACAATGAATGTTGGGCCTTGAGTTACTAGAAGGATGATGAGATTCTCGACAGAAATAAAGAACACAGAAGCAGTAGGCTTGAGAGATGGAAAGTGATATTTCCACTTCATGGGTATTCAGTTTGAAGTTCTAGTAGGAAATCCCAGGGGTTCTAGGTGAGAAATCCCAAGACATCTGTCTAGGTGTCTCTTGGAAATTTAGGACTAAGTTACTCATGTGGAGGGATAAATGAAGCTACAGATCTTCCAGTGCACCTAGGTTTATGATATAGATGGAAGGAAGAAGAGGAATCAGGGAAGTGATCACAAAGAGAAGGGACGTGTGCACACATGCAGGCAAAGCAAGAAAACCAAGAAAATACTGACTCTTAGACACCAAAAGAGAGAAAGCATCAATAGAGTCAGAGACTGAGGAAAGCAGAGGTTAAAAAAAAAATGGCTATCACATTTGGCAACTTAAAGATCACTAGTGGGGCACCTGGGTGGCTCAGATGGTTAAGCATCTGCCTTCGGCTCAGGTCATGATCCCAGAGTCCTGGGATCAAATCCCACATCGGGCTCCCTGCTCAGTGCAGAGCCTGCTTCTCCCTCTCCCTCTGTCATTCCCTCTGCTTGTGCTCTCTGGCTCTATCTATCTCTCTGTCAAATAAATAAATAAAATCTTTAAAAAAAATAAAGATCACTAGTGGTGGCTGGGACTGCTATCAGGAGGACAGGGACCAGGTTGTACGGGGTAAAATATGAATGACTGTTCAAGAAATAGGCCCACTGTGTTTACATGAAGTGGGCTTAGTGTAGTAGCGATTAATTCCTACTCTGCAGAATTAAATTTCTTCTCTTCCTGCTTCCTAGCTTCATAGTCTTTTCTCTAAGTCATGTGCTTTAGTTTAAGATCTAATGGGAATTTGTAAGAATAGTGAAAATGGATTTTCACTGATATTGGGAAAGGTACAGAGAAGTTCATAGTCTCACCAAAAGGGCTTATTACAGTCATATCCTAAAGTATATCTCATGGCTTGCTTTAATGATTTGTATTGCCTTATAAAAGGCAATGATGAAGCATCTCAAACCATAGTCTCCATTCTGTGGACCTAGGGATAAATATGTGTTGACTACCTACTTCTTAAAAATCAAAATCTATATTCTGCCATTCAGTGTACTAATAAACAGGATTTCCAAATAAATAATTTCCAAAGTGAAAAGTAGATGCAAGTGCTTTGATAGAACAGAGAATAATTAAATAGCTGATGGGCTATATGAGACATGAAAATTCAGTGAGCATGAGAAGAAACTCAGATAACCCCACACATATCTCTATGATCAGATTCATAACCCAAGAGCAAGGACCAAGGTAGTGAAAATGGCTACAAGAGCATAAACAAAATTAATTGGTAAGATGCTTCAGGATGGAGATTTTACTGTCTTCTTCCCGCTTAACTTCCCACATTTCTAGTTAGCCTTAAGATCTAGATGCTCAGTGGCTGTTTTTTCTCCTCTATTTTACTTTTGTGACAAAAACTCTCTTTTGAAAACAACTTACAGAGTGTGTCTTGGAGCCAGTGTAAATTCAGACTTATTTGATATGGTTTGAGATAGTAATGTGATTTTTCAAATAGTAACCCTGAAGAACTGCACAATTTTCAGTTACCTGAGAAGAATTCAATTATTTTCATATGAAACTGTAATTACTGTGGCAGGAGCCTCTAATACTACAATTGAGGAAGGTTTTATAATAATTATTATATAAAGAGGCTTCACAGTGAAGTCTCAGTAAACCAAAAAATTAATAAGGACAGCTGAGCACTCAGAATAATTAAAGTTTAATTATATTTCATACACTTTGGGCAAAAAAATAAATGCCGTTTCCAGGCTGCCTGAAGAATTCTCAGAGAAAATTTAGTTAAAAGTTGCCAGTTTGGGCACCTGGGTGGCTCAGTCAGTTATGCATCTGCCTTCCGCTCAGGTCATGATACCCAGGGTCCTGGGATCGAGCCCCGCATCGGGCTCTCTGCTCTGTGGGAAGCCTGCTTCTCCCTCTCCCACTCCCCCTGCTTGTATTCCCTCTCTCGCTGTGTCTCTGTCAAATAAGTAAATAAAAATATTTTTTAAAAAGAAAGAAAGAAAGTACAGGTCCTCTCTGCTAGATCCTAGATCTGTCTGGCTCCAAAACCTTTACTTTTTCTATGCACTAAATTCCTGTTCTCCAAGCACTTTTTCTCCAAATAAGGAGGCCTCTATTTTAGCTTTTTTGTAAAATCTTTCACTTACCTCACTACTAACCCTTTTAATAGAAAATGCCCCGCATGTTGCTGCTGCTACCTAATTTTGCAGAAATTTTTGTTCGCTTCATGAAATTTATTAGAACTAGGCTAAACCTTGAGAGTATATAAGCAGATTTGAAAGGATCGTAGAGACCTATAAAAACCCAAGAATACATACTATCATCTCTGATAAATATTGAGCATCTGCAGTGTTTTGGGAGCTGTTTGATAGGCTGGAAATTCAACCATGAATCGAAGCAGGCCTCTGACCTCCGAGGGTATTCATCCCAGAGAGGTGAACATGGGACAAACATGTAAACAAATAATCACCAGTGTGAGACATGGAACACTAGAACATACACAAGGTATAATGTATAGTGGAGGAAAAACAGGGAAGGTAAGGATTTGTTCTTTTAGGGAATATGGACATATCTCTGTAGAGGATGGAATACATGAACAGTGCTTCTAAACTAAATTTATTTGGGCGAACATTATATAAAGAAATGTTCTGCTCCAGTTTTGTGCTATGTTGAATGACTGTCCCCTTCACAGGAGATTAAGTCTAGAGACCCTTACTTGAATCTATGTTTGGCACCAGCTTTAGCACTAAAAACCTTAGGTGGGCTATTCAGTCAAGCTTGGGTTCTTTTGTCTTCTAAAATAATAACATTATTCACCCTGGTAGAAGGGCCTTATAACAAATAATGAGTTCCTGCTAATAAAATATATTTGTGATTTTAGATAATAGATTTAAAGTTGTATCATTGATTAAACTAGTATCATTATTATTTTTATAAATACCATTACGGTGATGTTAGTGATTGCAGTTTTTCCACTTCCAGGATGAGGAAAATAAACATGATATATGGGAGGTAGTAACCCTTGGGTTCTAAAGCAGTAACAATCCTTTGAGCCCTCCACGTCAGGTCTCAGAAAGAAATTCCCATTCTACGTTAAGGACAGAAATCCGAAATCCTTTTATTCTGTTCGGGAGGACACTATTCATAGTTGTACTGTCTGTCATCTTCTCTCTTCAAACAGGGGAGTTCATCAAAGCTTTGTATGAGTCAGATGAGAACTGCGAAGTGGACCCCAGCAAGTGTTCCTCTAGTGAACTGATAGACCATCAGAGCAACCTGAAGATGTGCTGTGAGCTGGCTTTCTGCAAGATCATCAACTCCTACTGGTGAGCAGGTGTCAGTGCTTCCGCCCCTGCGTATGGAATTGACATTTTTCCATGCAGAAGTCATCACAGTGTTAACGGTGCCATTTCCCAACCAAAGGAAGGGCTGAGGGGGAAAATGGAAGGTTTCCCTGATAGAGTGCCCTCGAAGATCCAAATCTCCAGTGTAAGCAACAGTACCTGTGAACTGACTCTCTACATAAATATAATATTTCCCCAGAGTCTTAGCACCACATCCTCTAATACCAAAGGTATTTTAATGGCTTTCTAAAATACTTACTAGCGTTAAACGATTGTGTTAATGATTTTTGCATTGCTCCAACCCCAGCGATTAGTGAGATTTTTGGAAGAGTTTTGATGAACACTCTTTAGAGAGATTATGGTAAGCTCTATTAAACCAGATGGTTTAGTCAGGAGCCTCATGCCATTTTCCCACTTTGCAAAACTAAATTTACACTAATCCCTGAGTTTTGTAGCTTTGGGTTTCCAGTCTCCATCTGGACTTTTGTCAATTTTCCACCAACTCTAAGCCATGAATCAGGCAGAATTCTCTCTACTAGGCTCTCCTCTTAGCCTGTCTCTAGAGCAGAGGCGTGTTGGGCCAGAGTGTGATCACTTGTGTTTTCTTGGGTTGTGGTCCTTTTATATTTAGAGGTTTGATCTTTTTTCCTTCCCCAGTGTTTTCCCTCGTGAGTTGAAAGAAGTGTTTGCATCTTGGAAGCAGCAGTGCCTGAACCGCGGCAAGCAGGACATCAGTGAGCGGCTCATCAGTGCCTCATTGTTCCTCCGTTTCCTGTGCCCCGCCATCATGTCTCCCAGTCTCTTCAACCTTATGCAGGAGTATCCTGATGACCGCACATCTCGCACCCTAACTCTGATTGCCAAGGTCATTCAGAACCTGGCTAACTTTGCCAAGTAGGTGTCACTACCTTAGGCACTTTTTAAAAACATTGTTTTAAAAAATACGTGATACCTAAAATTTGGATGGGGGTGGGGAAGCCTCATCACTCATATTACAAGATTTTCATCACAGTGATATTAAAAATAAGGAAAAAAGAAGGAAACCGCTTAAATATTCACTTTATAGGAGTGGTAAATAACCCATGGTACATGCATTCAGTAGAATATTTGCAGCCACCACAGTGTTCATAAAAAATATCCAGTAATATGGAATATGATGAAGATATTATTATACTCAATGAAAAGTGCTATTAAAAACTTAAGCAAAAAAGAAAATGGATACTAGAAAATATGTTAATACAAAAACCTAAGTATAAAAACCATCTGACAAACTCAATGTTTACATTATCTAAGACAATTGACTTGGCCCCTTCAGAAAAAGTCAATGTCATGAAAAATTGAAAAGATGGAGAGGGACCGTTCTAGATTTTAAAACACTGCAATGCTTGAATCTTAATTGGATCTGAATTGGGAAAAAAAAAATCTATAAAAGTCATTTGGGGACAATTAAATGTGGACTATATATAGATGATTTATGGATAATGTTTTTAAAAAGTTTTAGTGTGATAATGGCATTAGTTTATGTAAGAGATATTCCTTATTCTGGAGAAATGGGTGCTAATGTATTTAGAGTTTATGTCTGCAACTTAGTTTAAAATGGTTCAGCCAAAAAAAAGTGTGTGCAGAGAGAGAAAGTGAAAGCAAACTTGGCAAAATGTTAACAGTTGGTTAATGTAGATGAATGCATATGGTTGTTTGTTATATAGTCTTTCAACTTTTCGATAGATTTAAAATTTTTTGAAAGGGAGTTAGGAAACCACTGGGGAGGAAATGCACTTGAATTGTAAACAGCAGATGTGTTTGGGTGGCAGAGTGTGTCCACTCACACCTTTTTCTTGCCACTTTTCATTGTTTCTAAAAAGACAAGATTCTCTATTAGCAGTGTGTTGAAGGAAAAAATTAGAACTTCGGTGAGACAGATTGTTTTCTAGTATAAATAGTGGCTTTTAGAAGTGCACTATTTTAACTTTGTGTATCCTATTTAAGAGCCAACACAGAAGTAGACATATTTACCCTATTTGAGTTAATTCTGGTAAAAATTATTTCTATTTTATTTTGGAAGAAGTTTTCTGGGCTTAAGCAAGGCCCTGAAGATACCTAGAATTTAGAGAGACAAAGAAGAGAAGTTCCTCTATAACGAAAATAAATACCATGAGCAAAGGCTTGGAGAAGCACCATATATTTGGGGGACTCTGAAGAAGCTAGCAATATTGAAGGTTTATACTGATGAGCATTTGGTAGGCAAATGAAGGTTATTTACAGAGAGCTTTAAATACCAGAAAAAAAGAGGTTTAGCTTTAGCCGACAGAGAATAGAAAGCTATGCAAAGTGTTTGAGTTTTACATCAGTATTGAGAAAGTATGTTTTAGCATTTATCACTTACAGATTATAAATTAGTCACTTACCTCCCCAACATAAAAACAAAAAATTGGGCACATGATGAGATGAGCACTGAGTGTTACATGCAACTGATGAATCATTGAACACTACATCTAAAACGAATGATGTGTACTCTATGTTGGCTAATGGAATTTAAATTTAAAAAATTAAATTTAGGGGCGCCTGGGTGGCTCAGTCGTTAAGCGTCTGCCTTCGGCTCAGGTCATGATCCCAGGGTCCTGGGATCGAGCCCCACATCGGGCTCCCTGCTCAGCGGGAAGCCTGCTTCTCCCTCTCCCACTCCCCTTGCTTGTGTTCCCTCTCTTGCTGTATCTCTCTCTGTCAAATAAATAAAAATCTTTTTAAAAAAAATTAAATTTAAAAAAATAAAAAATTTAAAGCTCAGTGTAAAATCAACTCAAACATCTCTTTTCCTGAATATGTCCTTTCCCATTTTCTCTCCCTCTATTTCAGATTTGGTAACAAAGAAGAATACATGGCATTCATGAATGATTTTTTAGAGCATGAATGGGGTGGAATGAAGCGCTTTCTTTTGGAGATCTCTAATCCAGACACCATCTCAAACACCCCAGGCTTTGATGGTTACATTGATCTGGGCCGAGAGCTTTCAGTTTTGCATTCCTTACTGTGGGAAGTAGTTTCCCAACTTGATAAGGTAAAGTAGGCTGGAAGCATAATGGGAGATGGGAGTTAGAGAACCTGAATATACCTGAATTCTGGAGAGTATCTACAGAGTGACAGCATTCATGCTTTCTGCTAGTTGAAAGCAACCTTTTGTGCTAGAAGTCTAGGAGTAAATAGTTATCAATTCCAAGTAAAATATGTGCCCTGCAAACCAAAAATTCTAGAAGGCCGTGAAATTATTAACGTATATTTTTAACTAATTATCTGAATTAATGGAGTATATATTTCTATAAATAAATAAATATATGTATGGAACATTATATATAACATGTCTAAAAACTTCCCTAGAAACTAACATCAAACATTGCTAAGTGCAGATTTATTCATGTATAGCAGGATGAGGTGATGAAACCTCTTATTAATAATTCTAACAAAACTGTGGACTTAGAAAAATGCTGAGATTATCGTGTTTAATTAGTTTTACTCACGAGACTCTTTTATTATGCAAGTCAGAGGGTTCAATATAACTATTAGTACTACTGAGTTACATGGGATCTGAAAATTCTGATGTTTTCTTTCTCTACAGATATGAATTTAAAAAACAAAATACTTTTAATCATTTATTTTCTGAGTATAAGCTAAGAATTACATATTTATAACTAAATATATACCATGCCAATCATTTTCTTCCTTCTGGAATTTTTCAAAGAGAAATAGAATTTGTAATGGAAAGTAGTCTTAGACTTTAGCTAGGTTTATCACAATAATTATTTATTGATGTTTTTGTTTGCTACAGGTACTTCATAAATAGGTGTGGTGGAATGTTAGAATAACTTCAAAAGACAAAGGGTTTTTTTTTGTGATAAGAATGTATTTGTTTTCCTCCATTTTCCTATTATCCTTAACAATGTTGTACCAATAAAATGGGGGGAGTAAGACTTATTAGTAAAGACCACTTTCCTGAGGCAATGTAAATGGTAGGGTGTCCTACCATTTGTAAAATAATAAACTGTTTTGTATTCTTGAGAACCCCTTCTTCACTTGTAGAAATGCTAGCTAGACTTTGAGTTGCAGCTGTACTGAGGATAAATTCCTTGAATATGAATCATGGCTCAGGAAAGTTGAGCAAGTAAAGGCTATTCTTTGGGTGGCATTTGACCAGCCACTCTACCCATCTGAGCAGAGTTGAAGAGTCTCAGTTTTGGAGAAGACACAGGAGACCCAGAAGCAGCCGTGTAAAGCTGTCCTAGAGTTGAGGAGTCGCGTAAGACTCCATGAGGATAAGAATTCCCCAAAGAAGAAAATGATTGAGATGGATAAAGCCAATACTAAAAAGTGACTCTTTGTCAAGTAACCACATCAGTGGGATGCGGATACAGTAATTTTGTGGAATAGACCTGGTTGATTTAGGGTCAAGGCCTTTTTAACAGGCTTTGCTAAGTAAACATGCCTTCTCCTTTTTCATCGGTGTTTGGTCCTGGGAACCAGGGTGAATCTTAGACACATCCCATAGAGAGAGTTTACCTGATATTGCTGCTTAAAAAAAGATTGTCTTGACAATAGGTCAGAGTTCCCAAAAGTAAATGGGATAGTGGATGGCAATATCAACTGTGTGCCCTGCAGTGCTCCAGACCCCTGAATGCAACACCTTCTTGTACGTTGGCATGCATTTCTTTTCTCACACGATGCCTTTTCTTTGGAAGTTCCATCACACTAGCCAATCCTCTGGTCTTGAAGTCCTTTGGTTAGAAGGTGTTTGGTTCTTCCCCTACCCACCCACCCCCACCTTGATCTACTAGCCTCCCAAAGATTTAGTTTGCTTTGCATGCCTATTTTAGTTGGAATGGCAATAGTTTGGTTGTTTTGAGCATGTCTTTTAATTTTTATTTGCATAATCCTAATTTCTATTTCCTTTCTTTCCTCGATGTCTGCTGCACCTTGTTTCGCCTCCTCCATTCATCTCGACGCCATGGTTCTGCTGCTCCATAACAATGCATTATGAACCTGCCACTCCCATATGCAAACACCTACCCTTCCCTCCAACCTACACCCCTCCATCAATGGGCACCGTTGTCCCAAAAACAATCCTTGGTGGATGTCGCAATGCTTATTATCCAATTAGGGTGAAAATTCCTTCCTACAGGCAACCGTGGCAAAATTGGGACCTCTGCCTCGAGTTCTTGCTGATATTACCAAGTCTCTGACTAATCCTACACCAATACAACAGCAACTGAGACGCTTCACTGAGCATAACTCCAGTCCAAATGTCAGTGGAAGCCTCTCCTCTGGGCTGCAGAAAATATTTGAAGACCCCACTGACAGGTATGAAAGAGAGAATTGAAACTGTTGTCTCAGAGAGAGATAATGCTTAGAGATTTGGCAGAAATCTATTTAACTTATTTGTTGAATTTACAACCTGAAAGTCATCAATTGGAAAGAATCATCTGGCCTGAGATAATCCAGTTGTTTATCATAATAATACACAAGATCTAGGATACTTATTTTCTAGAATGATATTGTAGAGTTATATTCAACAAACATAAAAAAAAACCTAAGTCCACCTTTTTTTAGTATATGTGCTGCCGAAGCGAGCACCTTAAGTCCACCTTAATGGGGGAAGATTAAATTTATATTTTCATATATTGTAGCACTCAAAAATCTAGAGAACCTCAGTTAATGTCATTTTAACTGTGTCAGCTGGATAGGTAGATGCAATGTTGATGCTTAGACTGACCCTCTTTTCTGGATTGGCAAGACTTGGGCCTTTAGCAGGCACCCTTTGGTTGTACACACAGCGCTGCTCCCTCCTCTTGAAGATTTAGACAGAACCAATTAACTATGAATTGGAATACCTCGGGAGGGTTTAAAACCTAACTAGGAAATGACTGGAATTCTAGTAAAAATCAAAGACAATGGTGGAGTGGTATACACAGTGTTATTCCCCACCTTCGGAGAAAAACTAAAAATGTGGATTTTTAAGAATTGTAATGATGAAATCTGAGTTTAGAAACCAACATAAGTATCCACATTGGGCCTGGAGCCTTCAGAAATGTTCATATGCCTTGGATTGAGAAATCTTAACTATTTTGAATTTGCCTCCAGAGTAATTAAGGGTCCTCTTTTTCCACAGTGATTTGCATAAGCTAAAATCTCCAAGCCAGGACAACACAGATAGCTATTTCAGAGGGAAAACATTATTGCTAGTTCAGCAAACCTCCTCCCAGAGCATGACTTACTCTGAAAAGGATGAAAAGGAAAGTAGCCTTCCTAACGGTCGGAGCATCTCCCTCATGGACCTTCAGGACCCTCACGCTGCTCAAGTGGAGCATGCATCTGTCATGCTTGATGTGCCTATGCGCTTAACTGGAAGCCAGCTTTCCATCACCCAGGTGGCCAGCATCAAACAACTGCGGGAAACCCAGAGCACCCCCCAGAGTGCACCCCAAGTGAGAAGGCCCCTGCACCCAGCCTTGAACCAGCCAGGCAGCCTCCAGCCCTTGTCATTCCAGAACCCTGTCTATCACCTCAATAACCCAATTCCAGCAATGCCAAAGGCCTCTGTGGATTCCAGTTTGGAGAATCTAAGCACTGCCAGTTCCAGAAGCCAAAGTAACAGCGAAGATTTCAAACTCAGCGGGCCCAGCAATAGCAGCATGGAAGACTTCACCAAACGCAGCACCCAGAGCGAGGATTTCTCGAGGCGGCGCACTGTGCCGGACAGACACATACCTCTTGCTCTGCCACGGCAGAGTAGTACCGGGCAGGCCCCCATCCGGAAGATGGACCAGGCTGGGTTAGGTGCCCGAGCCAAAGCCCCGCCGTCCCTGCCGCACAGCGCTTCCTTACGGAGCACAGGGAGCATGTCGGTGGCGTCTGCGGCGCTGGTGGCCGAACCTCTGCAGAACGGGAGCCGGTCCCGGCAGCAGTCCTCCTCATCTAGAGAGAGCCCCGTGCCCAAAGTGAGAGCGATCCAGAGACAACAGACACAGCAGGTAGGGGCGAGGGCTGGAGGGGTCTGGCTTCCACTGGTCCAGCTGTCTCCCTGGTTCTTTGTATAGAAATCATTAGGAAATCCAATTGCCAGCAGCATTTCCACTGAAAAATAGTTTCTGCAACTTTGAAATGGAAAGAGGAAGTGAAAAGTCTGGGAGGCTTCTGGCGAGGTGAGGCAGCAGCACGTAGCTTGACTCATTCCCCTCAGGAGACTGACAGCCACGCAGAGGGCTTTTCCTTCTCTCCAAGCAGCTGAGCTGCTACCTGGGTTTGCACTGAGAACAGGTCAGGGTTGAATGAATAATTAGAACACATGAACTATGAAACCTATAGGCCAGATCAACTAGAATATATTTGGGGAATCTGGACATTAATCCTCCTTAATTTTTTTTTTTTCCCTTAAGTTTCCAGAATAAACTTTGGCATTCTGAGCCAAGCATTTAATGTAACTGCTCTCTACTCCATCCCCCACCTCCCTCTGGACATAACAAGTCTCATGTGCCTTTTCCTGGAAATGACTAGAAAAATAAACAACTGAACACCTCTAAAAGCAAGGTAAAGGAGAGAGGGAACAGGATAGAAACACAGGTGGTTGACAGGTACACTAACCATTTACAAATCCCTTCTATTTGCATTGGTAAGCCAGCTAGTGTCACACCCAATCTTACGATTTCCGGACTTTTCTTCTTGACACATAAAAAGTTTTCCCAAGAATTTAATTATTCATGACTTCCCTACATACTACATTTTGAGGCACCAATACATATTTTGCTTTTGGGAACAAACTAATAACCTGAGCAAAACACGTATATGTATATGTATACATTAATATCTTTCATCTAAAAAAGATTTTTCTCCTGGGGCGCCTGGGTGGCTCAGTCGTTAAGCGTCTGCCTTCGGTTCAGGTCATGATTCCAGGTCCTGGGATCAAGCCCCGCATCGGGCTCCCTGCTCGGCGGGAAGCCTGCTTCTCCCTCTCCCACTCCCCCTGCTTGTATTCCCTCTCTCGCTGTGTCTCTCTCTGTCAAATAAATAAATAAAATCTTAAAAAAAAAAAAAAAAAGATTTTTCTCCTTTGTATTTGCTGACCTTTTTTTGAAACCTAATCATACTTTATAAGTAATAGGGAGCTTTGTGATTGAAAGAGTTCTATGACAGATCCCTTTGTCAGCAAAACTACTGGTCAGAGGAGACTGCAATAAAACCCCAGTGTATCTTTTTAATATATTTGGCTTTTTTTATAGGTAAGGCATTTACTGATTTGGCTGCTTCTGCTTCCATTCTGCTGTAATCAGGGGCCTTGCCCCTAGTTTGATAGTTATTGTTTTAAAAACAATTAGCACACTGACAGAATCCTGGGATGCAGAAGTAGAGGAAGAGATGAAAAGCACGACTAACTTAAGCGGATTCCCGCAGCCGACTTCCTGAGCAGAACCTCCTAGTTGGTCATTCTTTCTGGAGAAATTTCCAGAGAAATTCCTTCAGTCTTAAATTTTTCATTTTCATTTTGTTTATATTTCCCCAATTCATTTGATTTTTTAAAGATTTATTTGTTTTAGAGAGAGTGAGCATGAGCGGGGGGAGAAGGAGAGGGAGAATCCTTGAGTAGACTCCCCGCTGAGCACAGAGCACAGCACAGGGCTCAGTCCCAGGACCCCGACACCATGATCTGAGCCTAAACCAAGAGTTGGCCACTTAACCCATTGAGCCACCCGGGCACTCCCCCAATTCATTTTTGATTTAATAAGCTTTTTCATTTAAAGAAAAGGAAAGAAGATTACATATAATGAAAATGCTTATGCATACCCATATCTTTCATATGTATGTCCTATTATATCAATATATTTAATTTGTCAGAAGGCGGTCATTCACACCTTATCATGATCATTTCCACACGATGCTTTTATGCTAGCTTCTAGTTGAGATCAACTACTTTAAGAGAATCAAAGTGTTTACTGAGAGGAGAAAGGAAAGATAAGTAATTTCAGAGATGAAGTACTGTGTGGAGGCAGACATCTGCTGGTGGGGGGGTTTGTAGCATGGGGTCCCTGAGGATGGGATAGGGAGTAGAGAAGAATATCGTATTGGCAGAGAGGGACAGGACAGCGGAAAGGGCCCTCCAACCTGCTTCTCAAAAAGCTGACTCGGGCCCAGCCCTGGACAGAAAAGAGGAATGCTAACCCATTCCCCTGTATCATGTAGTCCTCAGTTCCCAGGGCCCGAGACTCAGACTGATGGTTTATAAATATTACAAATTACACAGCCTTCTGTGGGACCATCTGGAACCAATTGTCATTATAATATTTAGGTGTAGGAAAATCTAGCACCCATCATACAAGCAGTTAGTGCATGTTTCTGTGGGTGAATAGAAGGCCGTCTGGAGAGACGGGAGGCAGGAAATGCGTACAGTCTACAAACAACCAATTTAAAAGTGTTTTGTGCCACAAGCCATCAATGAATTGGGGTATGTCTTTGTTACATTGGTGCAAAGTGAGGCACAGAGTGAGACGGCCTAGTACAGCTTTATGTATTCATCTTTGTTTATGCTTTTGCTGGTAATGCCGCCATCACAGCAGTTCAAGCATAAATCACGGGTTTTTTATTGCTCAAGTTTCTGGTTTCTCTACATGGGCTTTTTCTATGCAGATGGTTTATTCTTTCAAACTTATGTTGTTATTTTTTATTCCTTATCTTCTGGTTTCTTGCTTTTCTCCTCTCACTCCCATGAAGCCTCTGAATTTCTATATAATCAGCACATTTTTGGCAAATTCCTTTGCATATTGTAATTGCAAATTGTGTTGGGGAATTCTTCTCTCCCCAAAACTAGAGGATTTCTTTGTGGGGATTGTTCTGTAGGCGTCTCTAATTATCGGTGGCTTTGTCCCGTGCAAATTCCATCTGTATCTTAGCACAAAGGAGTGCCCATTGTTGGCGGCATTACTGGCTTTGGTCTTCATATACATACTGAGTAGGAAGGAAATAAACTCCTGGTGAAACAATCTATAGGAAAGAGAGGGGTTTTTTGTTTTGTTTTGTTTTGTCTTTTTTTTTTTTTTTTTTTTCAGGATACTGCCTTCAAATTTTTTTACCCTTTTCAGCCTTTATTTGGATTTTTTCCCCCTCATTTTCCTCCATTTTGTTTTTCATGTATCATGTACTATCTGTGTATAATAGACTGTACTGACAGTGTATGTTTTCAGGTATAGCATGTTATGGAACCTTAAAAATTCACATTTGAAGAGGCTTTTAACATAAAAAATTCAAATTTAACAGTCCTGTTGGAAGGATGCTGCCTCTATCACGTGGGGATGTGTTGAACCATCTCCTAACCAGCCTCTTCAGGGACCCTCAGAGTTGACTTTAGTCAGCCCTCTCTTGGTGTTGACAGCAGAAGTGCTCTTCACTATGAGAACCAGACTGTTTCAGATTTGGAGAAGCTGAAACCAACAAGCCTTATTTATAGCTAGTAAATACTAGCACGTAAGGGGGACTGGCCTGTTCTCCATTGTCCTCAGCGTAGCCAGGCTTTGGCTGATGACAGGATCCGAGAAACTGCTGTCTCAGGCCCTTTTGCCCTAAAGCATTAGTATTTTTCCCAGAGAAACCCTAGACGGCTTTATCTCAAAGCAGAGATATTCCTAGTAGGAATTCCTCCTGCTTTTCTTTTTGTCTTTTTATCCTTCCTTTTCTTTAATGATCCACCGTTGAAAGCCAGTGGATATAAATACTCTTCCTAAGGCTATAGCTAAGCAAAATGGGATTTGAAGCCCTTGCCCAACCTCTTTTCCCAATCTCTTTGACTCTAAACCAGAGATAAGAAAGTTTCCTATCTGTAATAATGCCTAAATAATAACTAAATAACTACTACTAATGAAAACTAGAGATAACAAATTTTGCTATCTTTGCTAGCTTGTAAAGGAGATGGAGCAATCATTGAAGAAAAGCCTTTGATGCACTTCCAAAGGATTAGAGGAAAAACATACAGTATCTTTCTCTTAGTAATACAGTATAGTTTAGTAATAAATTCTAAAGAGAGCCAGAGTATTAATAAATGAATATTTTATTGAGCATATATTGTGCAATTACATTGCTACCATTCAAAAATAAACTGTATAATATGGTGCCATGCATCAAGGATTGACCATCTAATTGGGAAATAAGACCAGCACACATAAAACCAATAGGAAAAAAAAAGGAAGAGACAGTATATAGTTTTCTAAATAAAGAAACAAAAAAACCCCTCTATTTTAACTATTTTTTATTTGTTCAATATTACTTTTCTGTTCTTTATGATGTTGTAAAGGTTTTGCCATGAATACAAGGAATAGTTAATATTTTTTTCAAAGTTAATGACCTCCTACGATATGCCATGCAGAATGCTCGGATATATTAGGAAGTGGTTGAAAATCAGATTCGACCAATAAAATAGGAATAGACCCAAATGTCCCGTTCCATCACACAATCTCTTATCATTCATTGGACATTGTTAGTCCTTCTGAAGATACGGTAACTACCACCATCACCAGTGGAATGAACCAACTCTTGTTTTTACAGCTTCTCACTTAACAGTCAAAGCCTAGATTGTGCTAAGGAGTCGTCGCTGTTGTTTTAATATGCTTTTAGGGGCTAAGATCTCTTCTTAGTGTGTTTTAGGGATATCTTTAGTGTGCGGTGCATTTATAGGCACTCAATAAATAGCTACCCCATGACAAATCACAGGGAAAGAAAGTCCATTCACACATAACTGTATAAAGCAGAAAGCTATTGAATTAGCTGCCTTGAAGTAATAAATTCCAAACAGTAAAGTTGTTACTAGTTTTAATACCTGCTTTATCTCAAACCACTATTGAATAATAGAAAATCCTGGTTTCATAGAAAAGCCAGCTTTTCTGTGCCCTGTGTGCTAACGTGGTAAGATTATAAAATTTAAAAAGGGTTTGTCTCCTTTAAATAGTGGCTTCCTATTAATTTTTTGAAACTCAGAATCACATTCTTTTGTCTTTCAGGTGTACATATATCAAATAAAAACCTAAACCTCTTGTAAAACTATTTTTCTCTGCCAATGCTGAAACAATTTTTTGTGCTCTGCTTTTAGAATCCAGTAGGGGGTGAACGTGTGTGTGTGTGTGTGTGTGTGTGTGTGTGTGTGAAGTACCTTTCCATTTCCAAAATGCTTTTACATGCTAACTCATTTGTTCCTCATAGTAACTTCTGATGTGGATAATTATTACCTTCCTTTATAGATGATACTCTGTCCTATAGGCCAGTGTTTCCAAAGTTTGATACTCAAAATTATTTAAGTATACAAGATGTTTATTTAATTAATCACGTCATTATTTTAACACGTGTTAGAAAAATATGTAACTATTAATATTAAAATATATTTATAATATATATATATAACCTCAAACTCATGATTGTACTGATGTTATTGCTTAGCATAAGGACTCCGCTGACAGGAAAAAGTTGTTTTAAAGGGATAAGTAATATATCAGTGATGATGTGGTTATGACAAAAATAATAAAGTGATACACAAATGAATGAAGTATACAACATACCTAGATACCAGAGTGGAGATGGAAATAGACTTTTAAAAACTGAAGATCTTGACATTTAAGACATGTTTATGTTTCTTGACACAGTGGAGAAAATGGCTTTAAAGGAGGAACTTCTAGAAGTCCATTAACAATTGCTTTGCTTGTGCCTCAGGCGTGATGCCACTTTTTATTGATACATATCAGTAATCTGTTTGCAAATCAGTCAAACCAGGTTCTGCTTCACACCTTTAAGAACGACCCTCCTATGACTTGTGTATGTGTATTTTGTAGAGTTTCTCCCAACCAGTATTTTTCATCTAGTCTTTCTAAATTGCAAAGTCATCAAAAAAAACCGCTTCTTTTAAAATAGCTATCTATAGAGAGTTTAACTGGATTCTATTTCAGAATGACATAAAGATAATCTTAAGGTAGATAGCTTTGCATGGGAGAGAAAATTCCCTCCAATTATGAGATTACACAGTGTTGGTCCTCAAAATAGAAATCTATTTTAATTCTAAAACGGCTAACTCAGGGGCAGCTGGGTAGCTCAGTGAAGCGTCTGCCTTGGGCTCAGTGCCTGCCGATCCCCCTGCTCATGCATGTGCACTCTCGCTCGCTCTCGCACTCTCTCTCTGTCAAATAAATAAAATCTTTTAAAATAAATAAATAGGCTAACTCACATACAATGCTGTGTTCTCTCTTTCTTTCCCTCCCAGCCTCTCTCGTTCTCTCTCTCTCGCAAGCACACCAGAGAAAAATAATGTGTTTTATATTTCTAGCATCATTTGTAGAGAAAACTTTAATGTTCAATAGCTTAATATAAATTGTAATATCCAATTCCAGTTTTCTAAACATAAATATGGTAACATCCAAGCTCTGTAGTTTCCAAAGGACTTTCATATACATTATCTTATTCCGTCCCTTCAACTCTCTGTATCAGGATAGGTGGTGTCGGTGATGGTGGTGATATCCCTAATCAGTAGATTAAGAAAAGAGTATTGAAGAGATTAAGGGATAGTTTAAGTGGCAGGGTTGCTACTTTTTTTTTTTTTTTTTTTAAGATTTTATTTATTTATTTGAGAGAGAGAGTGAGAGCGAGCGAGCATGGGCCGGGGGAGGAGCAGAGAGAGAAACAGACTTCCTGCTGAGCAAAGAGCCCAATGTGGGACTCTGTCCCAGAACCCAGAGATCATGACCTGAGCTAAAGTCAGACACTCAACCGACTGAGCCACCAGGCGCCCCAGGGTTGCTACTTAAGGCCAGAATCCTTATCACTCTGTATATTAATATTGGAAAAGGACAATTTATCTGGCTATCCTAACTGGATCGAAATATCCCTTAAACTAATCCAATATCTATTGTTTTGATCCTGTATTCATCAAGAAACTGGTCTAAAATATAAACTTCTGGGGCGCCTGGGTGGCTCAGTTGTTAAGCGTCTGCCTTCGGCTCAGGGTACTGGGATCGAGCCCCACATCGGGCTCCCTTCTCAGCGGGAGGCCTGCTTCTCCCTCTCCCACTCCCCCTGCTTGTGCTCCCTCTCTTGCTGTCTCTCTGTCAAATAAATAAATAAAATCTTTAAAATAAAATAAAATATAGACTTCTGAGTGGTCTTCATCCATCAAGAAGTCAGCACTCTGTAAAAATGAGCAGTATCACTTGTTTTTTTCTCTTTGTCTAAATGATTAATGTGAAAATTATGGACTTGGCATTCTGATAAATAAATGGGTACCCTGTGAGTTTAGCATTAATCAGTTTATTGGTTCCCGATCGTCTCTGGGTTACACAGCCATTTCCTCAGCTGAGCAGTCAACCAACAGGTCAGGTCTTTTCTCTCGTTCTTACCATCATTGAAATTTCACTGGTAGTTGGACCACTGGACTAATGAACAATTTTAAGGCCTTGGCTTTCTTTTCTTGGTTGTGATGCATAGGAATTTCTATTCAGAATAGTTAATTCTTATGCAAGTAGATATTCTCATTCCTCACCCCCAGCCCTGTCTTTAATAAAATATTACTTAGAACTGAGAGTATTTATTAGGTCATAGTTTTGTCCTCCAAGAATAACTCTGTTTGAGAAACCAAACTAGTGAGCTGTTTGGGGAGATGCTAATAAGTGTTTCTGATGCAGGTGCAGTCCCCTGTGGACTCTGCCACAATGTCCCCAGTAGAGAGGACAGCAGCCTGGGTGCTGAACAATGGGCAGTATGAAGAGGATGTGGAAGAGACTGAGCAAAATCAAGATGAATCCAAGCATGCTGAGAAGGTAGAACTAGCCTGTCTTTGTTAACTTCTTGCGCCCACAGGGATAGGCCACCAGAAGGGTAGGCTAGCCAACATGATCTCTTCCCCTCCCCGGTTTCAACTCCACCTCTTACATTATCCAGCATATACACATCTGTATATAACAAGTCAGCAGTGTCTCTGTGCGAAAATATGCAGAAAATGTCTATTACGCTGGGGTGGGAGGATTAATTTTCTTTTCACGTAAGTTATCTTAATTTGGAGACATTCTGCTATTCATTTCCAGTCATTGAAGGGGAATATTGTTTCTATAAACTGGTTGTTAGTCTTCAACCAAGACCAAAATTATCCTTGGACTAGACTTCTTTCCCAGATCTTGTTTAATGATTTTGTCTTTTTTTTTTTTTTTTTTTTTTGCCTTTTTGCCTTTACTGGTTAAAGAACTTCTAGCTCTATATTGATTTTTAAACAGGTATTATCTATTTCTGTTTTGTTTTAAAGAAAAGTTGACATGGAGAGAAAGGGTTATCAATAAGAGGCTTGACAGCGTGTATGGCAGTCTCTCACTTAATCACAACCACACAGCTAGTCCTGCTTACTTAGCAGCATGATCCTAAAATATGCTTATTGATGCAGTCTGCCTTTTTAAACTGTCGTGAAAATTGTCATCTTTGACCTTCTGGATAAAGAATGTACTTTAGGATCATGATGGTGGGTAAGCAGAAGCTAACTGCCTGATTGTCAATTAAATGGGATATTCTGTGAAAATAGTTTGCATTTTACCATACAGATTTATCCTGAATTACTAATGAATTTAAGTAGACCATATGCAAGAAAGCTTATGCTTCTCGCCTCACCTAGAAATGTGACATTCCAATGTACTGACATCTCAGCTACTGCACTGTCAGTACGAGAAAGGGCTGGGATTCTCTAAAGCTTTAGTGAGAATTTGTTATATAAAGCTTTAGTTTATATATATTTATATAAAGCTTTAGTGAGAAAACAGACATATATGTCCCAGCCAGCGGAACCAAATTGAGCCGATGAACCACATCATGAAAAGGGGCCAAGAGGCAGTATTAATCAGCCCTGGAGAATATGTGGGCCTTTTGCTTAGTGCTTGTGACCTGAATATTTTGCCCTTGTATAGTTGGGGAGAAAGCAGCAATAGCTTACTTTGCCATCAGATTCTATTTATTGAGTTAGTAGCGTAACAGTATAGAAAATTCGCTTGTTCTCTAAAGGGCTGATTCTAGTAGAATGAAGGAATGAGAGTCTGATGAGCCAGGATGTGTCAGAGAGCCTCTAGTACAGCTGATGATAACACAAATCTTTTCTCTGGTAGACAACTGGCTTTGGGCTTATTTTAAGTGATTTATCAGGCTTCTAAGTACTTGATCTTTTTTTTTCCCTGCCCCCATTTGATACAGATTGGATGTAGCTTGCAGCAACTGGTAGTTAATGTGGAAAGAGATACATAACATATAGATTCGAAATGCCAAGTTCAGATTAAAAATGTGATTTTAAGGGGAGATAGGACAGAGCTCCTTTACCATTTATGCCTTTTGATCATTTTTAAGAATATTAGGAGCACGTGGAATGGCAGCTCAGACAGCATCCAAACACCTTGATTTCGAAAACCAACGTAACTCCAGTTCCCCCCCCCCCTTGTCTTTGATGCCTGTCTTATGCTCTAGTATGAGCAGGAAATCACGAAGCTGAAGGAGCGCCTGCGCGTGTCCAGCCGGCGGCTGGAGGAATATGAACGCCGCTTGCTGGTGCAGGAACAGCAGATGCAGAAGCTGCTGCTGGAGTACAAGGCCAGGCTGGAGGACAGCGAGGAGCGCTTGCGCAGGCAGCAGGAGGAGAAGGACAGCCAGATGAAGAGCATCATCAGCAGGTCAGACCTTCAGCCACTGGGGGGTGTGGGCCAGTTAGGGGCACAAAGAGATCGGCAGATGATCCAAAGAATCCTTAAGTCATGGCAGCAAAAGCCACTTCAGTTCTGCATATGCTCTGTGGTACTTCATACGGATGTGATGCATGACCATATCTCTTAACATTTTCTAAATGGGAGACCTTCCTACCCTTCCTTTGAAGACAGAGATGGTAGGTTTTTCTTTCATCGTAATAATCAGAAAAAATGAAAATGTAGCGACTCACTTGAAAGGTCTTAGTATTCAATGTCCAGGAGTCACTTAGGTCTTCATGAGTCTTGAGACCTGGAAGGGCAGCACCACTGGATCTCTTCAGGGCCAGAGAACTGAGAGAGAGAGAGAGTGCCGAGATGTCCAGGGAGTCTCTGGGAGGGATCAGGTTTACCACACACTTACATAGCACTCACCCTGGGCCAGGCACTTTTGTTAAGCACTTTGTCCATAAAGATGTGTTTAATGCCAACCTCTGAGGCAGGCGTTATTCTCATTTTATAAATCAAGAAACAGGCTCCAAAGCCATGAAGTCACCTGCCCGAGGTCACTTAGTGGGGCAGCCAGGACTTGAAGCCAGGGAGTCAGGCTCCGGAGCCCAGGCTCAGAACCACTGTGCTTCACTCCTGTCGGATGCTACCGAGGGGTCAAGCAAAATGAAGACAGAAAAGCTTTGTCGTTTCAGAAGTATGGAGGGAATTAGCAGTCTTGGAGCCGTTCCATGGAGTCGAACGTCTGTGGGTTAAGATGCGAGTGACGCCCGAGAGAGAAAGTAGGCTGACTAAGTGTAGCCCCCTCTGAGAAACTCAGCCGTGCAGGGAGAGAGGGACGGCTGTCCCTGGGGAACTTGGGAATGAGAGGGGGGTCATTTGTTTTTTTCTGGGTGGTTTGCTAGTTTGCGATGAACTAAGCTGTGCCGGGGGAAGGATCTGACAGAGGAGAGGGAGGAAGTGATTCTGGGGACCCTGTCCCAGAGGAGATGAAAATACACGGGATCTGGTCACCAACAGAGAGGTCAGCCCTGGATGGCTACTTCCAAGGTGGGAGAGAAGAAAGCAAGCAGGATCACGAACCTCTCGTGGGGGAGGGGTGGAAATCTGGACTCTGCCGAGTTTGGGTTTCTTGTCCCCTACGTCAGCTGGCCTCTCTTTGACATACGTTCTGGATGTCTCTTGCTGCCACGTTCTAGGCTGATGGCTGTGGAAGAGGAACTGAAGAAGGATCATGCTGAGATGCAAGCAGTTATTGATGCAAAGCAAAAAATAATCGATGCACAGGTGAGCAGGCCTTGAATCTAGTAGAAGGTACTTGTTTATAATGACTGTTAAATTTCCTGACTTCCGACAGGAAGTGCCCAAGGCATGTACTGCAAAAATGGGTCATTGGGAAGTTATCAGCATTACCTTTTGAAGATTAAAAGAGTTTCTATGTGACCTGTATTACTTTTCCTTTCTTTGACTGGTGACAAGTCTGTTAACCCAGCAAAGTATTAGCGTGCTTAGAGCAGTTGCTGGACAAATCTCAACCTAATGCATGATGGGGTTTCCTTCTTTCCTTATGGAAAGGAGGGCATTCTCTAAGGGGGTAACTGTGAAAAGTACACCGCATGTGTCTGGCTTGTGACCTCCACTGCCCATCGCTTGGCTGTGATGTTCACGGTCTTGTTAGTCACGTCCACTGTGCCATCGACCTCTAGCCCCACAGACGAGTAGAACTGTAGGGGAAAGACAGGGTTGTGGCAGGTACCTTTCCTTGCTGTTCTTTCGGTGCAGGGTTTGGCAGTGATGCTTGGGATTTGCTTGGCTGCTCTCCTTTGTTGGCACTGTGCTTAGAGAGCCTCTTAGTCTTGATGAAATCAGAACCTGGGCCTCTGCTCGCTGTAGCGTATCCCTACGACACTGATGGCATGATGACTGCCAAGAGCACCTCACAGGGCACATCAGTGATCAGAGCCAATCCAGGAGGCAGGAAACATTGCTGATTTGGTTTCATTTTATCATTGCAAAATATGGTTGTATTTCTTAGAGCGAAATAAATAACAAAAGGCAGGTGCGGTTTTGATAGTGGCTGGTCTAGCCACCGAACATGTCCCCTTCTTAGAGACACCCAACCCACACGGGTTTGCATTTCTCACCTTTAAAGACCTTATCATATCCCCAAGCTATGGAATAAAAATGGGAGCAAGGACTTTATCGGGGACCTTCTCTGCACCTCTGTGTCGGAGCCCCTGGCATTATTAAGCATGCACTTAATACCCCCTATCTGGTTTCCTGACAGGGTTAATGTGGGGTGGGGTTTATTTTTCAAAGGAGTTGGGAGGGAGGCTGAAAGCAGAGTCATGGAAGGAGGCTTCCTGGGCCCGATGCTCCACAGACACACCCAACTTGTAGGCCAGTGTGAGCTGTGACACTCTCGTCAGCGTAGCTCCTGGAATATTTTGGACTCTGTGGTTTCTGGATATTTGGACCTCATAAGAATCAGAAGAAAGGTCTGCTGTAATTATCTGACTTGGTCCTTTTTTTAAACCTTTCTGGGTGTCCCCAAGGTGGGTGAGGGAGGGGTAGTGGACACAAGGCCATCTTGCCATACATACTATAAAAAATTCATCCCTGAGCCTTCAGAGAAACCACCTGGATACAGAAAGCAGTTTAGTCAGGAAAACCACTGTTAATAAGTTTTCACTGGTAGGTTTTCAGTGTGACAAAAGGGTGCAGGAAGAGTCCTATTAATAATCACACCAGGAGAGATTTTGGTTCTGCCGAGATAAAACGGACCATTTTCATAATTCCAGCTGGTCTAAAACTGGGTCAGTCCTGAGCAGAGGAAGCTTGGGTGTGTCACAGTGGTGGCTCTGGGCACAGAACATTTCCCTCTTCTCAGCTGCCCGCAGGACAGCCTCATTAGCTTCTGGCCGTTTCTACCCGCTCCCGTCCCCTATTTTTTTTTTTTTTTTAAGATTTTTATTTATTTAACAGAGATAGAGAGCACAAGTAGGCAGAGCGGCAGACAGAGGGAGAGCGAGAAGCAGGCTCTCCGCCGAGCAGGGAGCCCGATGCGGGGCTCGATCCCAGGACCCTGGGATCATGACCTGAGCCGAAGGCAGCCGCTTAACCGACTGAGCCACCCAGGCGCCCCTCCCGTCCCCTCTTTTGACATTGAGGGCCAGGTGACTGGGTGTGATGCTGGAGTCAGGCATGGACGGTGAACACAAGGAAGGGAGTAGGATCTATCAGGCCTCAAAAGCTCTGGAAAGTAAGGACCATCTGTCAGTTAACCAGGAGGAGGGTGTTGCTGTTCAGGGACGGGTGAAATGTGATCCTCAGAGCATTAGTTAGCGTCAGCTTGTGGTCTGGCTAAACTAGATATTTTGGGTCCGTTCCTCAAGGCAGTGGTTTTCAAATGCTTTGATTCCGTGGACGATTTTGGTCAAACCAGAGGGACCTTCCATAGGTCACTTTCCAACTGCTCGTACTCAGCACCACCAGCAAGGACCACTTTCAGCTCAGGGATGAAATCACACTGAGGTTGGCTAAATATAGTAAATTACCTTGTCAGACACGGGCATTACTGTACAGTAAGCTTTCTACCAGAGGCCCACCAGGGATCCCTGAAGAATACGTGGAGAATTCACTGGACCACATTTTGAAAAACAGTGTACGGTGTATAGCACAAATCATAAACACTAAAGCTAATTTAAAAAAAGAATTATGACCTCCAATTCCAGCTGTTGTCTTACTGGTACATTCAAGTCTTACTATAGCAAAAGACTTTGAACTCTTGGGGCAGCCTTTGTAATGAATGACTTTTTACATCAGAGCCTGTCCTTTGTCGGGATCAATCTTATATCCTAAGTGTCTGATGGAGCAGAGCAGTCCTTCTGGCTCATTTAATAGAACGCACACATGTTCGGGGTGAAAGCTTCCCAGTGAGGTAGCCCATCCTTTTAGGTCCCTGGCATCTTCCTTGGTGCCACTGGTAGTGGAAAATATTTCTCCTATGAAGACGGTTTGCTTTCCTTATATTCGAGCTGAGCCCAGCATTTCCCAAAGCACTGAAGGCCTGGTGCCCAGTGAACTGGTTTTCATCTGTGCCAGCAGTCCTGCGCCCCTCTGGGCAAGGCTTGTCGCCGAGGTCAGCCTGTCCATCTCCTGGACTTTATGCCGTGAGGCCTGGCCTGGGTCAGCCACCTTCTAACTACACTGCAGGACGATGAGCATTACACTGGCCAGGCCAGAACCAGCTGTCTTGGACCTTGTAGCACGGCCATGGGGATCCTGGTGATGGAACTAAGGGGACCATTTCTGAAGCATCAGACCAGGGACTGTGCCACTTTCACCCCCCCAGGATCTCTCCATGTGACTCAGATGGAGAACAGAGAAGGGCTTCCTCCTCTGAGAAGCAAGCAGCTGCCTAGTTACTGTTGCAAGTGATATCTCCGCTGTGTTAAATTACAGGTCATAAATGGAGATGAGATTATTCAAACAGGCAAGTAAACCCGGTCCGTTCTGTAGCTGAGCAGTCCCAGCCCTGGCCCAGGACACCGGCCTCCTACCCATTCCAGCTCCTACAGCAACCACCCTGGAAAGCCTTCCTGTCAGGCGTGGATTGCTTTGCCTGTCAACCCAAGCAGAATCAAAATGTCAGAGCATCTTTTGCCAACTGACCTTGACTTTCAAAAGTCCCTATTTGATGATTTTTCTTTTACTTTTTGTTTTATTTTGAGACGTTGGCAGTGGGGGGAATTACAAAAGGGGATTTGTCCACTTGGAAACTTTCAGCTGTTCAGCAGGGGGATTATTTGGCTTCAGCTGTTACTCTTGTAGGAAATAAATAATTGCAATCATTCTTAGCCTTCTTTTTGACCCTTTAAGAATCAAATAACTTTTTACAAATGCCTAAAAAAATTTTAGGGGGGTGGGGTTAAACCTGAAGAATCCTACTTTCCTTCTTATTGGGGCCTTATTTATCCTAATACTGAAATTTCTTTTTTAATCATTTCAGGATATTAACAGTTACTCTTTTCAGAGACCATTCTTAACCAGAGGGGGAACCATCGTATTTGGCCCCCCACTCCTTGTTTCCTGGTAACCACTGACCAGTCCTTACCTGCTGGCTTTTTAAAGATCTAGACTTGTTATCCCAATAAACTCCATTGGCTATGATTTTTTTTAATTACTATTTTTTTAAGCCTCACAGATCTTTCTTTCATTGAGTTTTGCCTACCCTCAAAATGAGTTACCTTCCCAAAATAAAAAGCATCTTATACTAGATGAATGCTTACCTAATAATGCTGATTTTATGTATCTTACCACCTGAGACCTCCATCAGAGAAAAGGAGAACATTTTTTTAATGCCAGTAACAAGGGTCTTTTTTCATACTTTTGAAACCCCTAGCCCTGCTGCCCTGACCCATCCCCAAAGTAGGAGATTAAAGGGCAGCATTACTTGATGCTGTTGTCCGTAATGCTTTTGCCTCCAGCATCCCCCAGGGCAGTGGAGGGCAGTGGTCCTCCCTTAGCCCCGTCCTAGGGGCGTGTTGCTGGGAGCACCCCGACATGGCCCTGGGGGGCTGCTGCCCGCTAGCGAGGAGCAGCATCCAACCCTCAGCCCTTCCTGCCCTCTCTGCACCTCCTCGTGACCCGCCTTACCACGCTTTTCCCGGGGTAAATTCAGACACTCCAGGGGAGGAAAGCTGCTTTTGGCTTTCGGGCTTGTTCCTCACATGTTTTTTTTTCTTTTTAATTTCATGGACGTAAGTGAAGACCACCCCTCTCAGCGTTAGCCTCTTTTCTGAAAAGTGACAACTTCATGTTGGAAAGGTTCTGGAATGATCTCCCTACCTACTGAAACTAAGATTAGGGATTCTCTCCTAATCTTTGTGAGACTGATAATATTTTGACGGGATGATTTTTTTTCTTAGATGAGCCTACTCCCCTTTAGATTGCCATATTTTGACGGGGTCGGGGTGGCCCTTTTTTCTCTCTTGGTTTTTTGTTTTGTTGTTTTTTGTCTTTTTTTTTCCGTGTGTGTGTATTCAACAATCTTTGGTTCCAAAATATTGGTCCTAAGGCATTTTTTTTTTCCCCAGAGACTCAAAAGGAAAATGAAAGCAATCTCGTTATTGGGTAGCTTTCCTGGAGTAACTCTGAGCTGGAATGAGTTGAGAAGCTTGTGTTCTCTGTTTGTTTTCATGTGTTATGTTTCTGGCATCCCCCTTCGGCCACATCTCCCCTCCCATATTCAAATGACCCCTTGGTCTGAGCTTCTGGCTGCTTTTTCCCCTCTTGCTGTTGCATCCTCACTTTGTTGGTGACTAGAAACTGCCACCATGTATTGTTTTAATTTTGAGCACAATGTGAATTCTCTCCAAATGTGACTGATGTGCCCTCTTGAGGGGCCAAGAACCCGCAGAGCACATGCACTTCTCCTCTGTGAAATGAAACCTCTGGTGCTTCTTTCTTTACCACCTGATTTCTATGTTTTAATTTTGACCCAAAGCACTTAATACCGTAAGGCAGCTTGACAGCCCTGTTGCACAGTCTGAAGTAACACCTGGTGTCTTGTTCACATCATCCTAGCGTCCCAAGGGATTATTAATAACCAGTCCTGCTGTGCTGAAAGGAAAAAAGAGAGAGAAAAGAAACACAGACGCACTGGGCTCAGGGGAAGCCGAACCTGAGTAGGGTGCAGAAAGAGGCAGAGACGTTCCATTTGTCTGGGAAGCATCATGCGTACCGCTGTTTGATAGAAGGCATTAGAACAGTCATTCAGTGGAGCATTACCGTGTGGTTTCCTGCACGTGGCCTGAATAAAGCCCCGGTTGGTGTGTTGCAGGAAAAGCGGATCGTGTCCCTGGATTCGGCCAACACCAGACTGATGAGCGCGCTGACGCAAGTGAAGGAGCGGTACAGCATGCAGGTCCGCAATGGCATCTCCCCCACCAACCCCACCAAGCTTTCCATCACGGAGAATGGTGAATTCAAAAACAGCAGCTGCTGACGGCCTTTGTGACCACACAGACTGTGGGAGGAGACAGAAGGAAATGTCCCCGCTCTCCTGGCCCCAGCCCTCTCCCCGACTCCCCCAGGTTTACAGAATGTTGCTACTTCCGAACAGCAGAGTGGCGAGACACTCTCAAATGAAGAAAGGAACCTTGTCTTTCAGGGCATAAGGCTAAGACTTCCAAGGTCGATGCTTTCCCCCCATGTCTCTATGTACATAGGGAACTTAGTTCTGGGCCATGTACAGAAAATACCACTGTAATATACCAAAAGGAAGTGAATAATGTAGATTACCTTTTTAATTATTACTATTTTTATTATTGTTTTCCTCTTGTTGAGAGCACTGCGGTTGTTAGAGGAGGAAAAAGTAGGAACGACATGTGAGTGAGAGATGAGCCCGCGGGCTCGGTAGATAGAGACCAAGTGTCTATCGGATAGAAGCACGTGGAGTGCAATAGGACATCGTCAGAATGAATTTTTCAGGGATTCATCTGCCAGTCTAAAAACCCCACTCTGGCCCCCTTGTCCTTTAGGAGAACATGCAAATACCAAGAACCAACCAAAACAATCGATCCCATTGATCAACCAAGACTGGTTCTGAATGGACAGCTAATGTGATTTGGGGATACACTGTTTCAGAAGACACAGATAAGAGTTGTTGCATCTAAACTGGACTTTAGGAGTGGTTTCTATTGAACTCCTGTTGATGTTCATTTCCTTCTGTCTAGAGCAGATGGGAATTTTCCATTTTAGATAGGGGGCTTTTTTTAACCCCAGTTGTAATAAAGGGTGTTCTTTTTCCTCTTTAGAGTTTACAGAACTATAAATATTTGTGTCTCTGCATACCATCTTCATCTCCACACACCCACTGCCCTTTCCAAACCCCTGGTGGGAGCAGTCTTCACCAACAGGGTTCACTCTCCCCTGGAGAGGTTGTTCAAATATGCTGTCCATAAGCCATCCAAAATAAACACCCTTTCTTCCACACAGAAAAGGGCTAACCATACCATTAGCAGGAATCTCTGAATATTTCCTATTAAAAAAAAAAAAAAACAACTTTTCTATTTGTAACTTACAATTTTTGTTTGGGATAAAGATTTTATCCATTGTACTAGTAAATCTCTGGGCAGGGTAATTTTATCTCAGTCTTTAGCTTTGAAATGGCTTCTTCTTCTAATTCCCTCACTAAAATTTAGAAAGGAAATCCAGAAGTCACGATTCTGCTTATAAACGAAGAAAACTAAAAGTGCAAGGACCATGCGTTCCAGTCATTACTCCCATGTTCTTCATAGATTTGGCAATAATCACTCCATTTCACCAACTGTCATCCTTGGCTTTATTGTAGGACAGAAACAGTCATGGAAGCTAATTTACTTCCTTTTTTCCAGAGGTGTGAAATGTCAACTTGAATGCAAACTTGATTATCAGAAGTATGGAATGTTATGTGTTAAAACAGACATTATATATACAAATATATATATACATATATACTCACACATATGTACATAAAACTGCACAAATAGGAAAAGTTCATGCCTTCTCTGCTGTCAGATATAACGTTAAAAGGGTTTTGAATCTCTTTAAACAAGATCTAAGCAGCTCTTTATCCTGAGAAAGCAACAACATTTCTCAAATAAGTTAAGGATGTTTATTTTAAATTATAAACTTTAAGGAAATTTTTAAAAAAGAAAAGGAAAAAGGGAGAGGGAAAAAACAAAGACCCGAGGGAGCCCTATGCACGGAGTGAGTGTTTCTACCGAAGAGAGCATTATAAGGAAACAGGAGGACATTTATCGGGTCCTCTGCTGGGTGAGGCCCAGCCTCGACATCTGTGAATAGCCTCCCTCTCGAGGCACCCCCCGGCTTTCGCTTGGACCTCTTGAGCCCTGCCCTCTCCCAGTTGGATCTCTGTGTTGGACCTTGCATCTCAGCAACCTCCCAACAGCCCCAACCCACCTTTTAAAACATTTCTGTTCATAATCTTCTCGTCTCTGCCGGTCAGAGCTGTAAATTAGGGCTATTCCTCCTACTTATCTGATCTACGGTTTTCATGCCCTCGGATTTTGGGCACTTGGTTCATTTCTTGACCCCTGGTAGTTGTTTTACAAATTCTTACCTCCTCCCTCGAAACTTAGGGCACACTGCGGTCAAAATCACTTTACTAGGAAAACAACTTTACTAATTCTGAAGGTGTGCCCTGTGTTGGCTGGGGGGGAGGGGGGGATGTAAACATAGGTGTTCTCATTTAGAGCTGTTCTCAGCTCCAGTCACGTTTAATCTGTTCTTTGTAAAGCCTTCCATTGTGCCGCAGAAAGCCTGGTAAAAGAAGAGTCAGTCTCAGTGGCCTTAAGTATGTAACTCGGGGGATGTCTTGCATTGAGGTTTGGAAGCTCGAAGTGCTGGTTATGGATTACAGAGGGCCGATCAGCTTACCTATATTGGGGGTTTAGGGGAGATGCAAAAAAACCTATTGATGGCTGCCTCCAGCTTGGAGGCATTGTGGGAGCCCCTTAGAGGGCTGCCTGCTCCAGAAGATTTAATGCCCAAAATGTTTGGAAACATGATGCAGCCCTCTCTTATCAGGTTATCTTGAATGAAGAGAAAAGAGTAAAAAAAAAAAAAAAATCAGAAGTCAGCTAGAAGTTCAGATTTGTTGCCAGATGTGAAATTTTCGATGATCCTTTGAGCCTGTTCCTATCCAAACATTTTTCTGAGTATTTCTTTAGAGAAGCTGTCATCTGTAGAACTTACTCTGAAAGATTTTTTAAGTATAGAAGACTGCAGCAAACCGCTGGTAATTTTTATGGAGGTATTGCTTAGTTCGGCTTTTCTTCAGCCCAGATAACTCCATCCGGATGTTCAGCAGGAGGAGGGCCTGGTCAAGGCGAGGCAGGTGGGTTAAGATCGCCGTGGCCGCGCTCCTCCTTCAGCCACACATCAGCCACATTGCGGGCTGCAGCCGGGCCACGGTCCACTGGCATTTGGGGTTCAGGGGAAGTGCTTGTGAAGCGCTCGTCTAAGCTGACTGCCAGGCTTGGCCATTGACAAGGACAACATGGGTGGGATTTAGGAATTTAGGAAAGGGCTTCCGTACTCCCTTTTTATATCACTGGAGCGACAGGCTTTCTGGGCCGAAGCAGAAGAAAGAGTGACATTTCCACCAGGTCCTCGCGTTCCCCGAGTCTCTACAACATAAGCCAAGACCTAGGAGATGGCATCCAGGTAACTAGAACAGAAACTTGAGCGCCCACCGTGTCCCAGGCACCCTCACGGAGGTGCCATCGGGGTCCAGGGCAGCCCGTTCGTGAGGACACTGGTAAAATGAGCTCATCATGCTGTCTTCGCTGTTTGTTGTCTTCACTCAGTTTGTAGATGGTGACAAGTCGCTTTCTCTGGTCTGCTCCAAGACCTTTCCCTGTGATGGTGTTAGACAGTGAAAGAAAGAGCAAGAGTTTCTGTCTCCAACTGCTGTATGACCTTGAGAATTTGCTGGACTTTAAAAGTAGAGCTTTCCAGGTCTTTGTCGACCTCAGCCTTTGTTCTTGGAGCTGTGGTTCTTTTGGCCCCTGGCTCTCACTGTGCCCTCAGAGGTGCCCCAGGTAGGGAGCAGTTCTTCTCCGGACGTCCCAGGGCAAGACCGTGGCCATCGAGTGAGTTTGCATTAGTATTTGCTTTGCCTTCCACCTGGATTGAGTTCTAGTCAGCTCCAGTTTGGAGTTCCTGAGAAGGCTGGTTGTGGGGCTGAACTTGGGGAAGGAACCCCCTTTGGGATTCCCTAAGTCCCGTGTGACCGGGAGCCGAGGCTGGACACCAGACTAGACTGGTCCCTGGGCCTGGCCCAGCAGCTCCTGAGGCCATACCACCACCTCAGCGTGCTGTCAGCTACACCCACGGGGGCCGCCTTCTCGCACGGACTGTGGAAACCAAAAGGGCCTGCCCTCTCCAGTCCCCTTTCCCTTCTCAAGTCACGTGTGAAATCGCCTGCTTGCCCCAACAGTAAATCTTCGCCTTCCCACCCATTACCTGAGAGCCAAGAATTTGGGATACTTTGTTCTTATCAATCTGTCAATTGGAAGAACCTATTTTACTAGTCTTTTAAAAGCAAGATATATGTTGGGGTGTTAATTTTTACATAGAATCTCTTTCCATGTTCGAGTGATGGTTATTAGTTCTAGAAGCATTCCCTTGTTGTCATGACCCAGTTATGAATTCTCTTGAGTTTAGGAAAGAAAAAAGTGATGAAATTTGCATGAGACAGAATAAATATCTTATGAGGAGAGAAAGAACGCGAGGAAGATACATGATCCGAAAGGGGACAGCAGCCGTCTCAGTAGTCCAAAGGTTCGAGGAAACAGGATTTATATCCTTTGCCTGATCTTAATATGCACAGATAAGTGGAAAGGCCATCTCTGGAGACAGCACGTGCACAGCCACACAAAACACACAATTCCTAGGGCTTCTTTTTTCTGAATGTTGGTCCATCTTACAGAACAGTGATTCCCAGACTTCCTTGAGCTTTTTAGGTTTTGTGCTCTCATTTGTTAGATGTTATGACTGTGGTCCGTTCCTCTTTAAAATGTATGTACCATATGTGTTATATGTATATATAAGTTAAAGTGACTTGAAGTTGATTTGGTCTGACATTGTCTCAAGAATCCTAGATATCGTCACTGATACCATGAGGGTCATAGAAAGAAAGCTGAATATCACTGATCTGAGAGTAGGTTCCAGAAAGAAGGAGCTTTGGTTCCTGGTCAGTTAATCCTCAGGTGTTTGAGAAACCAAGCCAGCGGGACCTGGCAGTGACAGCAAGCCACCCCAGGAAAGCAAAGTGGTCGTTCTGCCCATGTCTCAGCCTGCATTTTCATTTCCTACTCCTCTCTTCCTTTTCATTCAGATGCCCTCATGTTCCACTGGGAAGTGTTTTCGTTTGGGACCTAAAACCAGATTTATCTCTTGTTGAGAAAGACGTCCACAGAAGCTGTGTTTTAGGGGCCTCCGTCATCTGTGGGAGGGGTTCAAATGTTCATGTATAAATATTGTCTTTATGTCATTTCTAAACTCTCAAGGGAGAAATTTCAGTTCCCAGTTCACCAAAAGGTTAAAATACTAATTGACTCAATGACCACTATCCTGCAGAAAGGTAGAAATAAATAGTAAAGGTTAAATTTTTAGTAAAGGTGCTTAGATATTTCCTTGTGACATTAAAATTAACCCAAGCAGACAGCAGCATGCTAACCTGAGTCACACCTGTGAGGAATTTACCTTCTAAATTTGATTCTGTTTTTCATCTCCAGGGCCTTAATAAGAATGTGTTAATACACATGACTATTTTACAATGATAGCTCTAAATAATTTATTTTTTATTTCAAGAAAGAGAAGTACACCTTAGAAAAACAAAACCCAAGATTTTATTTTATTTTTAAAGCCATATTTTTGTGCTGGTAGCACTTAGATTGTTCCATACGTGAGATCCATAGCTGCATTTCATTACCTGGGTTTGTTCTAAAGAAGATTTATTTTTGTTCTGTGAATAATTTTTGATGGTTCTTGTACATGTACAGATATAGATACGTTTGAGGTCTTTTATTGATATTCCTACAAAGAATACAAATAAACTTTAACTTTAAACATTTCAGACTAAAGTTGCTAATGTATTTGACGTATTTACCACCTTATTTCTAGCATGTATCTGGGTGAGTAGAACACTTGGAGAAAAACCAGAAAGGAAATGTATGCAGGAACATTCTTCTGAGGTTATATTTTTTTTTCTGAAGTTAATAGTTTAACATTGAGAACGATGTGTCAGAGAATTTCCCAATTAACAAGTAAAAATTTACGTGTAGTAGGACAAATAGCTCGCATTAATATGTTATATTGTGATGATGCCCTTAGAGAGCTCCTCATTCGGAAGAACTTGAAATCTCTTTAATAGCTCGTGGCTCGGAAGGAAAGTGTCCTCCACGTCATTCGGAAGCGATGCCTCACTTAGCTTCCCAGCCAGCCCACTACTGTCCTCTCTTAATTCCCTAGGTAGATTAATGGGGTTTGTGTCAGGATTTTTGTTGCTTTGTTGGGGTTTTGTGTTCTTGTTTGCTTGTCATTCTCCAGGTTACTGTCCCCAAATACTTCCATCTGCTTCTGCTTACCTATTTCTTATAAAATCCAGGAAGGCCATTTTTTTTCTTTTACATAATTTTCTTGTGTGTGAGGTGCGGGTCTGAAATCCTACCAGTTAGCCCTTCATTTAGCTGGAGTTACTTCTAAAAGTCTGGAACAAATGTGTAGTCTAATCTACAGGAATGAAAAGACTAAAATTCACTCAAAATCCGGAGAAAACTGTATGAGAAGGCGACTCCAGATCAGTTGACGTGGGCTCTTTTTTGTTTACTTCGAAGTCAACCCATTTCAATCTGAATTGCTCATGACCTAATGTAAGCTCTAAGACTTCTTGGATCTGAAACATCAAAAAGAGAAACTGCCGTTGCTTTCTTGTGACCTCCTGGCCTAAACTGCCCACCTCTACCCTTTATGTCCAGCCATGCCCTTTATTTTTCTTAGCCCCCCTCCAGCTGCCTGCCTTCTGTCCTTAGCAGCTCCCCTCATGGGAAAGTACATAAATCAATTTGGTTAGGACACTATGGCCACCACCACACACACCCCGGGGCCCCGGGGCCCCGGGCCCGGGGAGGGGGGGGGGCGGGTAGTCTGATGACAAAGGGGCTAAAACAAAGGACTTACTCAGGGCTTCTCAATCCTGTTAATCAGAATCACTACCGAACTTTGAAATCAGGAAAGAGGGGGGATGCCTCTTGAGCTACCCCACTGACCAATTAACTATATCTCTCTATAGATTGGGGTTGAGCTCTTTTTTCCGCTTCCCCAGGGAATTCTAACTTGCGTTGGGGTTAACAACCACTGGTCCACAGTGAGCCCTGAACACTGTGTGTGTCTGCCACCATGTTGCTCTGTCCCTGTCCCTGGAACTGGGGTAAGTTGGCTCCAGGTGTTTCCTCGCCTTCTGTTTGGAATTTAAAATGCTGCTAAAACCAATATATATGCTCTACCTTCCCAGACAGACACACATTGTCCCCACCTTTTCCATCCTTTAAATCTGTGAGGTAGAACTTCTCTCCATTAACAGGGAATAGATACATCCTAACAAAGATGGAATTCAAAGATGTTTGACTTTGGCTTTACTCTAAAACAGAAGGAAAATGATTTCTGGTTTGGTTCCCCCCACCCACCCCCCAAAAAAGGGTCCTTGACTTTTGAAAACCTTCTACTGAGCACTGCAGTCTTATTACTTGAACTTCTACTAAAAAAATTATCCGATGTTGAATTGCATCGTTTGCACCTGTTCTTCTTTCAATAGCAAAATGCACCGAGAAATTTCTAGTTCCTCTCCCCAGTCCCTGGCAGGCCAGTGCACGTATGCATGCGTCACACACTACTGTTCTTTCCAGACACTTGAGTTTGTGAGGTTTTAGAACAAGTTGCCTGGGTGCTATTTCTTTGGCCTGTGAATAAATTGCAGTCAGCTACTAGATAAATGCCAATCTGTTTTCTTGTCTGTAACATTATGATTTGGTTAGATGACCCTTAAGGAACTCTCTAGCTCTGACATCTATGGTTATTATCTGGTATAACTGAAAAATGTGCCCTTTTGCCATATTCAAAAATTGGTTTGAGGCTTCTGTTGCAATATTTGGGAATAATTCTTCCTCTTCACAATGTCCTACCTTATAATCCTTTAAAAGAACAGAGGATGGTAGGGGGAGCCTAGAACAAATGTATATCCCAAACAATAATAATTGATAGTAATAGTTAATGTTTGTATTTATCAAGCACTTACTATGTGCCAATTTACTAAGCACTTTATATGGAATATTTCACTTAATCAATACCAACCATATGAGGTAGATTTTGTTGGCCCTAATTCATGAGGAAACTGACACACAGAAAGGTTAAGTTATTTGCCCAAGGTCACACAACTAATAAGTAGAAAGCCAAGACCCCAATTCAGGTCCTTCTGACTATGCTATCTTGATTTAAAAAAAAAAACAAAAAAGCTCAGGAAAAAAATGTTAGACTAAGAAAAAGATCTGAAAGTCTCAGCACATGCACCAACCTGTCACCCTGAGCCAGAGTGATGGCAATGGGAACAGATGAGCTAATTTTCCAAAGCTTTTTCTCTAGGTATATTGGTTCCCACAGTATTGCCTTGCATTGTCAAAGTCATCTGACTGATCAAAATCAGAAGTGGTCTGAAGTCTCACCTCACTCAAAAATTGGTCTTTCATATCTTCTGGGTCCATCAGAGCTGGGATGGTAAAATCTGCTTTCAGGATTCCAAAGAGCTGCCCTGGAAAAGAAAGTGCTATCCGGTTCGGGGGAAAATGATCCTATTGCCATTTGGAAACTAAGTTCTTAGCAGTCAGGATTGCCCCTGGTGGATACCGCAGACGCTCCATGGTGATTTCAGATTTCAAAAAGGAAGACGAAAGAAGCTGCCTGGCAGGAGAAGGTGCAGCCAGTGGCCGACAGGAAAGAGCCTCAGGCCACTGTGGGGTAAGGTCGGCTCCCCTCCCACATCCTGGCCACCTGCCGGCTGCAGGCCGCAGGCCGATGTTTTCTGTCTCGCCTGTATTTTCCTCCTTTTTAACAAATCTGTTAGGTAGATACTCCACGCCACGCTGGAAATACTCGCCTCTCCCTGGACCCACATTTTAAAGGCCAGCTCTACGCCCAGAAAACCCTAAGTAGGTTCTCTGCGCCTATAAACCAGCTCAGCCTTGGGCCTTGAGCCACCATTCTCACCACAGGAGGGACAGACAGCCTCCTGCCGGGACTGCTTTCTGTTTGCACAGCATTCTATACACAGTACCTTCGCGTAATTCCCCCAGTGGGTGCTTGCAATAAGCCGGGGCGTGCGCCAGGGAGTTGTCCCTGTCCCTCTTTTGCAGATGAGGAAGAAGAGATGGTGAATGAAGTGAGGGAGTTTGCTCCCCAGGCTTTCGCAGTAGTCAAGGAGCTAACTCCAGGCTCCTCGGCCTTGTTCCTGTTCCCGTTCCCTTCCCAACACTTCCTGCCATCTGTCATAAAAAGGTCTCAAGTGCCCTGCGCTAAGGAGTGGCTGTCCAGATTGGACGGCTCCACTGGGAAGAGTGGGACCCCGGTGACCAGAGGCAGTTACCTGGTGCAGGTGCTGTGGTGGTTTCTTTAGACGCTGGGTGTTTAGATGCGCTCAGACCTGGGCCTGAGAGGCCGTGGCCGTGTCTCTCCTCCCGCTGCCAGTTCCTTCAGTGGCCACAGCTACCAGAGGGAAAATGAAGGAGTCCGTCAGGAGCAAAGGGGGTCTGAGCCTGGGGCCAGCCCCTGAGCTAGAAGCCAGGCATGGGCAGCACTGGTTGCTGCAGAAACCAGCCAGTCGGGGAAGCTCAGTCCCGGCCACACCCTGACTTACTCCCACAGGCTCGCGCACCCAGCCCTCGAGTTCCTACCCCATTCTCAGTGGCCCTGCCACCAGGATGTGTGGGGCTTGGGCAACAGTATGAGAATTCTTCCCAGCAGCAAATGTTGTCTTTCAGTAGGCCCTGCCCCCAGGGGCGCAATGCCCTTATGTTGTCTGCCCGCTTCACAGAGACCCCACTATGGCAGCCAGGGACCCCCGACATTTCCATCAAGAGGTAGCACTTCGGGGCACCTGGGTGGCTCAGTCAGTTAAGCGTCTGCCTTTGGCTCAGGTCATGATCTCAGGGTCCTGGGATAGAGCCCTGCATTGGGCTCCCTGCTCAGCAAGAAGCCTGCTTCTCCCTCTGCCTCTGTCCCTCTCCCTGCTCGTTCTCTCTCTCTCTCAAATAAATAAAATCTTTAAAAAAAAAAAAATAAGAGGTAGCACTTCAAACTCAACATATTCCAAAACCAAGTGCAGCCTCCCCTCAGCAACCTCCTCTCCCCTGTGTGGCTGCCCATCTGCTGAGTCCCAGAGACCCCAGGTACCCTCAGCTGCTTCCTTACTCCCTCTCATGTTCAGTCACCGAAGTCCTGTCAGTGCCTTGCAGATGTCATTTTTTTCTTCCAAATATGGAAATAACCATATTGCTTTTGTGATATATTATTGTAAATTACTGAAATAAAAGTATCCCCTCCCCTGACCCAGAGACAACCACCGTTCACAGTTTGTTATAGAATATTCTTCACACACTCGAGTTTTTTATTTGAATGCATAAAGATCTACCTTCTCTTTAAAGGCTGCACAGTATTTCATTGAATGTACCATACCGAATTTAACCCACCTGCTTTCAGTGGACATTCAATTGCCTCCGGTTCTTCACTGTAATAACACTGCAATAAACAGCCCCGTGTGCAGAGTGCATAGGTATGTGCGCACCTTGTACTATTGTTTCTTCTTTTTTTTTTTAGATTTTTATTTATTTGAAAGAGAGAGAGCGAAAGAGGGAACACAAGCAGGGGGAGTGGGAGACGGAGAAGCAGGCTTCCTGCCGAGCAGGGAGCCCGATGCGGGGCTCGATCCCAGGACCCCGGGATCATGACCTGAGCCAAAGGCAGACACTCAACAACTGAGCCACTCAGGTGCCCCTATTGTTTCTTAATAAAGTCCCCAAAATAGGACGTCTGTATGGGAGGGTTTGCACATCTCAGAACTGACACGCTGCCGGAAGGCTAGCACCCTACTTTCCTGTCCAGGGTCTGGGATCGCTGATTTCCCCACATTAGCACCAGCATTATCACCCCCTTAAATCTTTGCCAAACTGGTAAGTAAAAATATTATTTTAAGGGACACCTGCATGGCTCAGTCGGGTAAGCGCCCGACTTGATTTCAGCTCAGGTCATGATCTCAGAGTCTTGAGATGGAGCCCTGGGTCGGGCTCTGTGCTGGGCGTGGAACCTGCTTTAAGAGTCTCTCTCTCTCTCTCTCTCTCTCCCTCTGCCGCTGCCCCTCCCCCTCCTCAAAAAAATTATTTTAAAAATGCATCTTGCTTTTAGTTTGTATTTCTGTGATTCAATGAACAAAGCTGAGCCTTTTTAAAAATGTGTATTTCTGTTTCTTCAATTACTGTCACTTGTACACAAGGTAAAACCAATTCCCTCACCGCCCTCCTCACGCTGCCAGCCTACCCCTGGCCTCAGTCCCGCGTCCCAGCGGGTGCAACAGCCTTTGCCCCCACGTGCCCTTCCTGCCTCTCCTCTCCAAATGGCCCCCTCTCTCCCCACCCAAAGCACTGTCCTTAAAATCCAGAAACACAGAACCAGAGAACACTCATGGTCTCGTCACCTGAACGTAACCACTGTTAAGGTTTTCACACATTTCCTTCCAGCATTTTCTTCCAAGCATGGGTGGTGGTTTTCTCTCGGTGGTGGTGTGAGTGTGTTCCACGGATGATGCTGAACTGTGCCTTTTTCCTTTCAGACCCTGATTCGCACCTCGTCCGGGTGTGAACTACAGCGCTGAGCCTTTTGCTGGCTCGCTCGATGCCTCTGACACCTCTGTGGACTGCAGGGTCCCGTCCTTCAGACTCTGCCCCTCTTTCCCTCTCCCCCCGCCACTCCCTTCCCAAATACGTGGCCTCCACTCTGGCCACATCAGACTGCTCGTCATCGCAAACCACACGCTGTCTCATCTACTTGCCTTTGCCCATGCTGTTCCCGCCGCCAGGAAGAATGTGCTAGTGTTTGCTGCCTGAAATCCTCCATTAGCTTTCGTCCGACGGCCACCACCTTCCCAGGCAGAGTGAACAGGGGCCCTCGGGTCACACCTCTGGCTCAGCCCTTAGCGAACTATTGTCCCTGATTAGACCAAGCCCTATTAAAAACAGGAACCAGGCCCTGCTCATGGTGGTACCCACAGTTCAGTGCCTTGTTCACACCCAGTCCTCGGGAAGTGATTGTTGAATGAAATCATCCACCAACGTGTAAATCACTATTCAAGGCCTGGGAAAGATACAAAGAGGCCTAAGACAGCCCCTGCCCTGTGAGACTCCTCAGTCTCAATAATTCATAATCTGATCATTCGTAATCATTTATAATTAGTAAAACGAGAATGAGGCCAGCCCTGTCTACTGAGTAGGGACACAGGCAGGAGATGGAATGAGTCAGTAAACATTTCATTAGTGAACCGGGATGAGAATGGTAGTTACTGCCGATAATTGAGGGTCTGCCACGTGCCGGGCACTGGAAGGCACTTGATGACACTGGTATTTTTCTCGGCTTTAAAAATGAGGAAAACGAAGTTCTGAAAAGTTAGGAAACTTGCGTACGGCCACAGGGTAGATGGGAGAGTCAGCATTCCAACCCTTGGCCGTCAGCCTCCTACAGCCAAAACCGAGGACTTCTCCCCGAGACCCCCCACGCTAAATTATTATCCGGCGAGGAGGAGCGGGCGAACGGGCACTGGCGGCACACGGTCCCCCGGAGAGTGGACTGGAACGCACACAGCCCCCGCCCTCGGCCTCCGGCCTGCAGCCTGTGGGTGGAGCCCAGGGCTCCGTCACCCCCAGGAGGAGCCAGGCGCTGGGGGTCTGGCCGGTGTGGCGTCCCCAACCCGCAGCGACGCGGGCGGGCACCTGTGTCGGGCCCTGGCCAGCTCCCAGGGGTCTCCCCGGCGTGCGTCCGAAGGCTGCGGGGCGCTCTCTTCGGTCCCCGGGGAGCTCCCGGGAGAGGCTGGGAGGCGCCCCCACCCTGGGTGACGCCCCCCCTCCCCCGGGGACGCGTAGACCCGGGCAGGGCTCGAAGCGGAGGCCAGAGCGGCCCCGCGGGCCCGGCCTGCAGGACAGAGAGGGTCCCCGGAGGGCCAGGCGGGCTCGGCGGCGAGCACAGTTACCCGCAGGGGCCGGGGCTCTTCCTCGCGGGGCTAGGAGTCCCCGGGGCGGCCGTGGCCCCCCAGGGCTGGGGAGCCGCGGGGCCCGCAGGGGCGGGGGGCGCGGGGGCCGAGCTCGGCGGGGCTGCGGGCGCTGGTCCCTGCGGCAGGAGCGAAGGCTGCCAAGGCCGGGGCCGCGGGCCGAGGACGCCGACGGGTGGCGCCCAGCGGCCGAGGCGCGACGAGCGGTGCGCCCCAACCGGGCCCGCCGGGTGCGTCGCGGAGTGGGGAAGCCGGCGCCGGCCTCGGCTTCCGGGCCCTGCCGCGGCCGTCCAGTTCTTCCACGCCTGGCCCTGCCCGCCCGGTCGGGTCCGGTCAGCCAGGCAGGGGCCACGCGAGACCTTAGATGGGAAGCAGATGACAGGATCTCACCCAGTTTCTGAGCCAGATCTGACCACTGGCCCAGCCCTGGCGCTGTTGCCTTCAGGGTGAGGCCACGTTCCTTTGCAGCTCACAGAGGGTTCCCCTGCAGGACCAGGGTGTCCCCGCTCAGCATTAAGCACCCCACTCCACCTGCAGTCAGTCCCCCACTCCCCTTTGTGAGCTCCTCGTGGTCCTAAACAGGTACAGAATCACCTCCTCCAGGAAATCCAGATCATCACAGGGACTGGGACTCCCCTCCTATGTCCCCACCATGCCTGTGCCTATTCACGGAACACCAACTGTTGCGGCCTTGGACTCCTTCAGAGGGGCCCCTGATTTTACTTTGTGTCCCCAGAATATAAGTCCCCTAACTTCTCTGTGTCCTCAGCAAAGTCAATAATGCCTTTGTCAGATGGACGGATCTGGAACGACGCCAGGAGAACTGTTTTACCCTCAATTACCCTACTTAGCTTCAGAACTCTTGGGAAGCAAAATGAGGTAATAGCTGTGAAGATGTTTCCGGAATTTAAAAATGCTATAGGAATGCAATCACTGTCATTCCCAACATGTCCCCCCATAGTCCCAACAACTCATCCCGCATCTTCTCTCCACCCAGAAGAGCCCAAAATCACAAGGGATTCAACAGGCACCTCTCTTGCGCTTCCCTCTCTAGATGCCAAACCTCAAAGGCCTCTGATGACTTCTGGGGAGCACCACCCAGCATCTTCCCCTCAGTCTCCCAGGCTGGGCCTCATCACTGTGTGGGGAGCCACACAGCCTCTCTGGAGCCTCCTGGCTCTGGAGCTGCAAATTAGTGGCCCAGTTCAAGGAAGGAGGTTGATGGTGACCGAGTCCCCCTTCTCCAAACCCAGCTGGCCCTGCAGGGGGCTGGGGGGTGGGCTGGAAAATCCTCTTCGGGGAGGATCCCATGGGGCCGACCCTGTGCCGCTGCCTGCAGGCGACCTCTCCACCGTGCAGGCCCTGGGGACCCCAGGACCCAGCCAAGAACAGGTCCAAAGCATCCACACAGAACAGAAAACAGGGATGTACTTGGCCTGAGCGTTGGCTCCACAGTCACTTCTGAGGAGGGAGCGTGAAAGGCTGGAGAAGAGCAGCAGACTCCCGGTGCCCAATGGTGGGGTCTGCAAGGAAGGAGGGAGAGGGGTGAGGGCAGGGCTGACATGGGACAGAGCGCCCCCAGGTCTGTCTCACCTGGGGGGGGCGCTCAGCAGCCCCCATCTCAGCCACCTCCGCACTTGCATGCACCTGTGTGTGCCAATCACGGGAGGGGGCTTGCGGGGTCTTTAATCCTCACAGGAGCCCTGCAAGGGAGGAACCATCCTTCCTGCTTTACAGATAAGGATCACAGTTCTCATCAAATCCAAAACACGAATAGAAACAGCCAAGAACAGGCAAATTCACAGAGACAGGAAGTGCATTAGCGGCTGCCAGGGCTGAGGATGGGGGAGAATGGGGAGTGACCACTCAAGGGTAAGGAGTTCCTTTTGGGGTGATAAAAATGTCCTAAAATTAGATAGCAGTGATGTTTGCACCCCCTATAACTACTAAAACCCACTGAGTCAGACACTTCATAGGGGTGATTTTTAAGGTATGGGGACTATATCTCAATAAAGCTATTGCAAAAAATTAGGAAGGCTAGAAAGGAAAGAGGGAGGGAGGGGAAAAAAAAGAAAGGGAAGGAAGGAAGGAAGGGAGGAAGAAAGCAAGCAAGCAAGAAATGGCAAAGCCGGATGCCTCCTGTTGCTGAGGACATACGATATACAGGATCCAGAAGAACCAGGCGGGCCTCTGGTTCCCATGACTTACGCTGCAGCAGTGACAAGAGCTACTATGTGCTGGGGGCTTACTCTGCCCACGTCTCTACTAGCTCCTTTATATACATTCTCATTCAGGCTCTGAAGCCATCCTTGGAGGTGGGCATTGCCAATACCATTTTGTTAAATATATTTTCCAAAAGAGGAAAAAGCAACTCAGAGATGCCTCGCACCTTATTTCTAGCACGTGGTAGACTCTGATTCCAAAGTGCATGCTTTTCATCTCTGCATCGCCCCCAACCTACTAGCCACTGCTGCTGGCTAATGCCCTGAGACTCGATAGGGTCCATTCCATTCTTGAAAGCTCCCTCCAGAATTAAAGCAAAGCCTGCTCCTGTTACCCTCGGAGTCTAGAAGCGCTTCCTTGGGTCTAACCTCAGTGTCTCCTGCTGCCAAGTAAACCCATGTCCCGTCCCGTCCTAGCCACGGTGAGCCCAGGGTCGGGGGCGGCGGGGGGGGTGGGGGCTGCCACGCACCGGAGAAGCAGATGAAAGGTTTCAGGGCAGAGCAGACCAGCGAATACACTCTGGGGGAGAAGCGCGCATAGGTGCGGAGCCCCGCGCACAGTCCTGTCCCCAACTCGGGCACCTGAAGCCAGGGCGGGATGCTGGAGCCCAGGCCGCTTGACCAGCTCAGGGCCCCGGAGGCCGCATTGAAGTAGAGGCCAACCCAGGCCTCCGTCTCGTCGGTCACCAGCTGCAGGTCGGCCAGGTCCGTGGGGTGCTTGTGGCAGTACCTCCGGGCCGCCTGCCACGTCACCTCCTGCGCAAGTTGCAGGAAGGTCTGTCAGCCCACCTGAACCATGGCTGTGGGCAAAGAACAGGGAGACCCCTGGCCTGAGGTCCTGGCCTCTGACAGCCCAGGCCTCGTTGCTCCCCGGGGACAGAGCTCTCTGGTCTGGCCCAGGCCCTCCCCTGGGGCCCTGGGTGTTAGGTTTGATGAAACCCCTGATTTTACAGGACTAAATACCAGCCTGGGAGAATGGATGAGTTCTCAGGGCAGCCGCGGGGAGCAAGAAATTTAGGAAAAGCAGGGGTGAAGAGCTCTCCTCGTGGCTAAAGGCCTCATAAGTGAAGTCTAAGTCTCCATCTCGTCATCTGTGCAAGGGGGAGAACAGTATCACCTGAATAAATTTAAAGACTTAAATGAGAACCTTGTAAACAAGTGGGTTCGCACAGAGCGTGCAAATAATTAGCACTTAATTAAATGGTGGTTAAACTTTGTGGGGACGTGATGAGGAAGATAGGATAATCCTAGTTTAGAGGCAGCCTCTTTTGTGGTTTCCAGGAGCCTCTGGTGCTGCTCTCAGGAGGCTGAGGCAGAATAAAGTATGTGATATTCTTCCTATCAGGAGAGCCAAGGAGAAAAGAAGAGCCTGGTGAGGGAAGACCTGCCGGACAGGAGGCAGAGTGGGCCTGTCCCCAGTGGCCCTGACTTCTGGTGGGGCTCAGACAGCCCAGGACGCCAGCCTCTCATAGCCCCTACCCGCCCACCCCCCGTCTCCACCCGAGGCTGGCTTGGGCCACCCCCCACGGCCCCCACCTGCCCTGCCCCTTGCCAGTCCTGTCTCATCACAAGCCCACACATCTGATTCTGGAAGGCGGGAAAGGATGTGCTGTGGGATCCTGAGGGATGGATTCCGCAGCCCTGCTGAAGGAAATGCCTCTATTTGCAGAACAGAGAGCCACATCCTCAGATTCAAATCGGGCTTCCCAAACTCTCTGACACACGCCTGTTCATCTAAGCCCGTCAAGATTTGCCTGATGGTTCCCTAATTTTCCCTATCTAAACCGATTTTTTAAAGCTACCCTCTATTAAGCAACCACTGCTGCCCAGCCCCGAGCTATGGTGTGGCATTTGTCACCCATTTAAATCCTCACTATACTCCTGAGAGGTCGATGTTATGAACCTCATTTTACAGGTGGGCAAAGGGGGGCTCAGGTTGAGATGACTTGCCCAAACTCATGCCATATTAAACGGCAAGACGAGATTCAGCCTTGGAAGCCGGGCCATCTTCACTCTACAACTCCACATTCCAGAGCATGCGGAAAACCAACTCTACAAAGCAGATGGAGTGAGGAGTTTATATTTCCTTTGTCATGGATTCTTTACACCAGATGTGAAGAAAGTAAAAAAAAAGAAGTTCAGGGTAGTAATAATCAGAAGGGAAGTCCCCCTCACCCGCTGGATGGGCCTGGGCTGGGAAGAGGTGCTCCCTCTCCCCCACCCCCAAACCACTGAGTGGGGTGGTTGGGATGCAGCCTCGGCCATTAATACCACTGTCCGGTTGGAGACCTTGAGCAAGTCACCTCCTTGTCTGAATAATAAAATAATAATAAATAATCTGCATACTCTCTCTCTCTCAAATAAATAAATAAAACCTTTAAAAGGTGGGGGGGGGGTGTGCCTGGGTGGCTCAGTTGGGTAAGCCTCTGACTTCGGCTCAGGTCATGATCCATGATCTCAGGGTCGTGGGATGGAGTCCTGCACAATCAGTGGGGGTCTGCTTCTCCCTCTCTCTCCCTCCCCCTGCTCATGCGCACGTGCATGCGCTCTCTCTCTCTCTCAAATCAATAAATAAAATCTTTAAAAAAATAATAATCTGAATAGTAACACTGGATTGATTCTCTCCATGGGGCCCAGCCTAGGGACAGCAGAGCCAGGGGATCCCTCAGCCAGACAAGGGGCGGGGAAGCAGAGGGGACACAGGTGGCGTGACCCCGCGGCAGGTCCAGGTGGACGAGTCAGAAGGAAGGCAGAGCTCGGTGTGTACCTGGCTTTGGAAAGGTGGTCGGACTGAGAGCAGGCTCCGTGAAGATGCGGTGACCCACAGCAGGGTCTGTAAAAGAGAAACAGACCACGCGTTATGGGGAGGGAGAGGGCTGCCCAGGATCCTCTGCAGGCACAGGAGCCACCGAGCTGAGACTGGGGAAGGGGACACCTAGCTCAAGGCTCATCCATTCCTATTACATTTATTCAAGAAACACATACAGAGAGAGGGAGGGTGCCCCTATTTTGTGGCAGACGCTATTCTAGGCCCTGGGAAAAGAGCAGAAATAAGAGAAGCAGGATCCTTGCTCTTGAAGAGAGTATGAGAAGCAGCCAGCCTCGCAAAGTGGTAGGAAGGAATACCACGGGCAGAGCCAAGGCCAAGACCCTGAGTGGGAAGGGCCAGCGAGCATGGGAGGGGCAGAAAGCAGCCAGCGAGGCCAGGGCCGGGCCTGAGGAGGAAGCCGGAAATGTCAAGCAGGCCTGGTTGGCCTCAGAAGGGATGTGATTCTAAGTGCTAAGGGGACCTACTGAAGATGTTCAAGCAGAGTGACCTGATTTGCATTTTTTGGAGCTCACGCTGTGTTGAGAACTGACTGTCGGGGCAGAGCAGACCACCCCCACCTCCCCAACAGAGGCCACAGCGGCGGGCTTGGGGAGAAGGAGAGAAGTGGGTGGAGTCAGGACCTGGCTCCCTGGGGCCCAAAACACAGAGGGAGGAGGGGAGAGCCTGCACGCATGGCCCTTTCTTCGAGAGGACTCCCACCCCTGCACATTCACCACCCCTGAACATCTCTCTGCTGGCTTGGGAATCCCAAGGTCACACCTCGCCCCTGTGGGCTACATTTCAAGGCCCTGTGACAGGCACAGTGTGGTGGAGAACTGGGGACACATCAGGTTGGTGCTCCATGCCCCTATTCGAGGGCTTAGCGGGGCGAAGAGCTGGGCTGGGCTTCAGCTGACAGAGAAAAGCAGAAACTGGCACTTTTGACCAGAAAAGTACCGTCAGGTCTATAAGCATCCCCGGCTGCGAGATCCGAGCACCTTCCTAACAAGGTCAGCGGCAGGGGCTGCCGGGCCGAGAGGGGCCAGCAGGGGGCAGGATGGAGGCGCGTTGATTACCCCGGATTTCCTGCGGGGAGGCCTGAAGGGTGGCTCCCTTCACTCCTTCCCAGGAGCAGAGTGGCTGCTCCACGCTCCCCGCCGCGGGCGCGGGAGGGGACGGAAAGCCAGCCCCGCGCTCGGTGAGGAGCAGGAAGAGACGGAATTCGGCTCTCACTGCTGCAGAGATGCAAGTGGACCCCCAGCTTGTCTTTTCCTTTTTTCCTCCCTTTCGTTTTCCTCGTCTCCCAAGTCCCTAATTGGCAGGAGGAGACTCGTGGAACATTCCAGATTTTACTTTCTCTCTACCCTGATTTACACCTGTCTCTCTGATGACGGAATCTCAGGAATGAGAGGAGATAGACCCTCAGGCTGCAGAGAGGACTCTAGCAAAGGGGGTTAGGCTACTCGTCAGTTGTCCCATGAAAAAGACTCGAGAATGTTCCCCCCGCACCCCCCCCCCCCGCCCGACTTGCTCTGGAGAATGGTACTGGGAACACACCGTAGTAGCAGATGAAGGGCTTCTGCGCCATGCACGAGGCGGCCCCCAGGCTGGGGAAAATGGAGATGGAACACAGGGTGGCACAGACCCCCTCCTTGAAGACGGGCAGCGAGCTCCACACCGGGGCCGTGAAGGTGGAGCCGCTGGGCCAGCTCAGGCCCTGGATGCGCACGTCGAGGACGAGGCCGATCCACGCCTGGGTGCTGCTGGTGAGCAAGTAAAGGGTGCTCATGCCGCGCACGCTGTTCATGCTCTGCAGATCGGCCAGGTGCGTGTGGTGCGGCCGGCAGTACCGCAGGGCCTCGGACCAGCTCAGCCCCACCTCCACCCTTGAGAAGTTCTTGCCGCTGTTCATCAGCTGCCGGGCTGGGACGCGAGAGGCCGTCAGCGCCTGCCCGCCCGGCCGCCCCCGCCCCCAGCGCTGGTCCCCAAAGAGCTTTCAGCCTCAACACAGGCAGGCTCCCCAGCCTCTTCTTTCGCACTCCACCCCGTACCGTGGGCTCTCCACTCACACGCGGTTCTGCCTCTGGGCCTTTGCACAGGCTGCCCTCTTGGCCTGCAAGGACTGGCCATTCCCCACGCCCTGCTCCCCCAGTCCCTCGCTCTCCCATGCCCTCATCTCCCCTTTCCCTTTGCCCAACAAACGCCCCCCCCCCTGCCCCCTCCTGGGCAGGCGCCCCTTCCATTTGCTGCAGTGGCTTCTGTTAGTGCTTAATAAAGCCCGAGTTTACTGAGCACTCCTGGAGCGCCTGGAGCTCATTGAATCCTTCCAACAACTCTCTAGGATAGACATTACCATGTCTGTTTTACAAATGAGGAAACCTAGTCACAGAGAGGTAAGTGACTTGGCCAGGGCCACCCAGTGGGAAGGGATGGAGGTGGGACGTAAGGACGTGGGTGGAGTTCCCAGGTCTGGGCCCTTGATCATAGCACAGCATTGCCCTGTGATAGGCGGGGCTCGTCCCTGGTGCTGCACATTAGAACCCCCTGGGGAGCTTTCCAAATACACTGATGTCTCAGTGCACCCTACACCAAAGATCTGAATTTGCTGGGATTGCATCAGAATTTTGTAAAAGCCCCCGGGGAAAGGACCTTTTTGCTTGTCTGTCTCCACCACGAGGTGCAAGCAACTTGGGAGCAAAGACGAGCCTTATTCATCACTATATTCGCAGTGCCCAGCACACCAGAAGGACTCAATGTGTTGAAAATGAATGAATGAATGAATGAACTAACGAACAAGTCAAACCTCTCCCAGGAGCCAACCCCAAGCCCCAAAATCTCCATGTTGGCTTCCTTCCTTCCTGACTCCCTGCCCTTGTGGGTCCCCCCAGAAGTCGTCAAGGACGACTTTGCCTTGCCAGACCCTGCCTGTGTGGAGGGGTGGAGGGGCCAGGATGGTTGGGGGGGGCGGGTCCTAGGCCTTAAGGGATCAGCCTCAAGCCAGATGCCCTAGGAGAGGAAAATAAGACTGAAGAACTGGGCATACACATGGCTGACATGGGCACGATCGGGAGGACAGGGAAAGGGCTGACGGGACACTTGCCACACGGGGTGAAGCTCCTCACACCCACCAGAGTCCAAGATGCTGCCTGTGGCTGAGAAAAGTTGGAGGATCCCTGCATCAGAGAAGGGGAACGGGAAAAAAAGAAATCACTCTTTCTTACGATGTGTGATTCACTTTGATGTTTTTTATCCTATTCTGTTTAATTTTTTAAAATCACTGACTGCGGCCCACAGTCGATTTTAGGACCCAGTGGGTCACAACTCGCAGTTTGAGAAACACCGGCTAAAAACACTGTGTCCTGCTGTCTCCCAGCCTCCAGCCTCCAGCGCTGAGCTCTGGGTCTGCGTCCCACCGTCCGTCTGACACACATAGATCCCCCTGCCGACGTTAGCTCTGTCCTGGGCCTCCCAGCTCACATGGGCATCCCCAGCTCCCGCCCAGGGGTCGTCGCTTGTCCCTCCCTCTCATTCTTGGCATCCAATCACACCACAAATCCTGTCATTCCTGGGATCTGGAACCTTCTTGAACTTCCCACGTCTTTCCACGCCCACGGCCGCCCTGGGCCCAGCCACCATCCCCTCTCTGGGAGTGACAGCCCTGGCCCCAGCTGGCCTCTGCTTGTACCCCCGGCCGTCACAATAGGCCTCCCACCCCACAGGTCCTTCCGGCCCCCGCCCGGGACAGCAGCTCCCTCCCACGGCCGCCAGCCTTCAGTCGGTGGCTGCTTTCCTGGGAGGCCACCTCAGCCTCTCGCTTCTGCTCCGCACACACAGCAGGCTCCGCGCGAGGGGCCCTGGCCCAGGCTCCTCCCTGCACCTCCGCTCCTTCTCCTGCTTTATTCTCTGCAGCCCTTCATCTCCCCCCCCCAGGCCCAGCCCAAATCTCCTTGTTCAGGGAGACCTTCCCAGCCACCGGATCTGCAGAATGCCCCCCATGCCACTCCCTGGGACTCTCCCTTCTTGTCACCCTGCTTATCTCCTGCCCTGCATGGGGCACATTCTCTAATAACCTTGTTTGTTCTCTCCCCGCCACGTGTCTTTTCCCCCACGACAGGGTACGCTCGGGGAGGTCCGGGACCATTTTGGACCGGGACTTACGAGGCACTTGGTAAACACTGGCCGCTTGGACCCTGCATGAAGACACAAATGAGTGGAAGCATATGCAGCACAGCAAAGCGAGGTTCTGGGCCTGGGCCTGCGCTTTTGGGGGGAAGGGGTGAGGGGAGCCCGGCAGCCAGGGTGGCAAGTAGGGGGGAGGTGGCTGAGGCTGACAGCTGAAAAACACTGCTTTCTTTCCACTTTGTCTCCCCTTCAACCTCAAGCTCTGCGAACCTCCGGGGCAGGCGCCCCTCCTCCCGTCAGACCCGCGCCCTGGGCACGCACCGTGCCCGGCTGCCTCCCTGCCTCCATCCCAGTGACCGTGACGGGAAAGGGCAGCCTTACCTGCTGCGCAGCCGAGGGACAGTGGCCGCCCCCGGATCCGCATGGCCACGGTACAGGGCAGGCAGTGGGCGGGAGACTCCTCACCCGGCAGAGGCTACACCTGGTCTTCCTGGTCTTCCAGGGTTCTCTTTCTCACCCTCCACTCTCCTCCTCTTCCTATGAAAATGGACATATTTTACTAAACAAATACTTCCTCGGGGCCCACTGCACGCCAGTCGCTGTGTGCGGTGCTGGGGTGGGGGGACCCAGAAGGAAGCATCCCGGTCCTGCTGGTTATAGGGACAGCAGAAGGACCCAGTAGTCAGTGAGCAGAGAGAGGCGGCGTGTGGGGACCAGGCTTTGCTGGACCGCCCTCCCCACTCAGAGCTGCAACCACAGCACCAGGGAGTGGCCTCCGGCTCCCCATTTCACAGGTGGGAAGGTTGTGGCTGGGAGAAGTGAACTAACTCGCTTACAGCTACCTGGTAGGCACAGCAGCTGAAGGTCACGGGAAAGCAGGAGGTGGAGGCGATGGGCCCCCAACAAGTCCTACTTCCGTGACGTCAGAGGCCGCCCAGCCCGGCCTGGCCTCTGGCTCCATGATTAAGCACAGACCAGAGACCAAGGCCCTTTTTCTGGAGAACCAAGAACAGCTCTCTCTCTCTCTCTCTCTCTCTCCCCCTTCCTCCCTCCCTCTCAACATCCTGTTTATGCCCAGAGCTCTCTCCTTCCCCTTAAGGGCTAAGCTTTTGGAAACCAGAGTCTGGAAGATTCTTTGCTGCCCTCCATCCCTTCACACCCTCCCCAGAGGGAGGGGCAAACAGCCCCTCTGACTGAAAGGGCAAAGGGAGAGAGGAAAAGATCATGAATGCTTCAACGCTAACGCTCTGTCACAATATTCTCTTGTGCGGTGAAGGCCTCAGATGGCTTCCTCCGCGTGGCAGGACGCAGTTGTGCCCGGGCCTCTCCCGGGACAGGAGAGAGCCTGACGGTGCAGGCCCAGACGGTGCCAGGCCTGCCGGGACCCCCGCCCCCCACCCCGGGGCAGCTCGGCCATTCACCCAGGAGTCATCAGGTCTCGTGGTTTGAGGGCCCAGCTAGGCACCCCGGGCTGCCCCGCGCGGGCAGAGGGAGCCCCCCGGGGAAGGTCAGCAAAATCTCTCAGTAGAGAGGCGGCTTCGGTTTGTCTTAGGAGAATGTGCTTTTACTTTTCTCTTCGGCTTCCCCCTTCTACCCAGGACTGTTTGGTACCCAGACAGAGACCCTGAATCCAGAAGGAACGAGGAGGCTTCACTGGGCACGGAGAGCTGGTGATGAGGGGAGGATGACAGCCCTGCTCCCTAGGATGTGGGTTTCACCGGACTTGGGTCAGGGCAAAAGGAGCAGAGAGACAAGAAAGCAGCAGGCTTCCTAAGAGCCTCAGGGACAGACCGTTGGATTGCGCAAGCCGCCGGAAGCAAAGGGGTTCGTGAAACTCCCCAGAGCTTCTTTACCCCGCTCCCTAAAGTAAGAGTGCGTTTCCGCCCGGACATGATACACCCTTCGGTGTAGGTCTAGATGACCTTCACTTTCCCACAGTCAATATATACCTTTTCTCCCAAAACAACTAGATCTGCACCCCCAAATTGGAAACCTCGTTGCCCATGCTTGCTTTATTCCTGGGACAGGATCTTAGCCCCCCAGAGAGCAGGCAGGTGTTCTCCTGCATAGCGAGCCGCTAATCGCTGTCTAGGGTCTTTGTTAGAGATGCACTTTGTGGCCCCAAGGCCCCAGCCAAGAACAATGCGAGTGGGTTTCTCCAAGCCTTGATTCCTGTGAGATAATAGAAAAAATATGTATATTGGTCTGTGGCGCTTCTTGGCACAAAGCTTCTAGAACCTGTGTCATTTCTTGGGTGATAGGAGTGACTTTTGTTCTAATGAGGCGACTCTAGATGGGCTCCTGGATGGCATGGGGGGAGGCTCCCCAGGAAGTGCAGGCCATGATGAGAAGTTTGGAACTGTTGGCCCCATCCCCTCCCCAGAGTTCATGATTGGTCATGCCTACGTAGTGAAAGCTCCATAAAAATCCCAAAAGGAAGGGGTACAGAGAGGTTCCAGGAGGGTGAACACCTGGGGATTGGGGAGAGTGGGGGGCTTGGAGGGGCTTGGAAGCTCCGCCCTTTCCCCAGCCCTTGCCCTGTGCATCTCTTCCATCCGGCTGTTCCTGAGTTGCATCCTTTTGTGATAAACCAGTTATCTAGTAAGTCAAATGTTCCTCTTTCTGTGAGCGGCTCTTGCAAATTAACTGAACCTGAGGAGAGGTGGTGGGAACCTCCGATCTACAGCCAGTTGGTCAGAAGTACAGACCACTGCCTGGCTTTGCGGCTGTCGTCCGAAGCAGGGGCTGGGGGCTGGGGGCTAGGGGTTGGCTTCAGTCTTCCAGGACTGAGCCCTAACCTGTGGGATCGCTCGGACGCTATCTGCGGGTGCACAGCGTCAGAGCTGAGTGAGATCGTCGGACCCCCAGCTGGTGTCACACAGTTGCTGTTGGGCCCCCCCCACATCTGGTATCAGAAGTCTCATGAGTGTGGCCCTGGCTTCTGAGGGAGGGAGACACATAGGAGGACTGGGGCGCTTTTCCTGAACAATTCCGGACCGGGGTTGTTAATTCCTTGACCAGGAGGGTGATGATGGCTAGCTTACAAGGGTGTTATGAGGACTAAACGGAATGATCTTTGCAGTGGATTTGACACACGCACAAATTCTAATGTGCCACAAAATTGTACCTCTCAATTGCCTCTAAGTCAACCTACGTGTTTTAAGGTGCACGCTCAATAAAATGCATCTAAGTATTTGAGAATACAGTTTGATCAGTTTTGCAGCGTGTATACACCAGTGGAACCCCCGCTGCAGCTGGGTTCTGGAACATTACCAGCACCCCAGAACGTTCCCTCCTGCCCTTCACCGCAGGCCCTGCCCCCACCCCAGCTCCAGGCTTTCTGTTGCTATAGATTTGTTCTCTAGCATTTCGTTTGAATGAATTGCCCTCAGTAGATTCGCCCATTCGTCACATGTACCTGGAGTTCACTGCTCTTTGCTTCACTCTCCTGCTGGCTGCCTGTGGTCCGGTTGGGGGCCATTGTGCACAAAGCCTCCGTGAACATTCATGAACAAGTCTTGGTGGATATACGTGCTCTCTCTCTCTCTCTCTTTTTTTTTTTTTTGGACAGATCCTGCCGCGGGTTTCTTGGTACCCATAGCCCAGGAGGACAGCAGCCCCGCGCAGACAGAAGCCCAGGGGTCACGCCGGTCCTCCCGTCCTCATGCTGGGAGGCAGAAGCCTCTATGCTGGAGCCTGCGTGGGGGCCTGAGCCACAGCAGGACCTGCAGCCTGGGCCTCGGTTTGCGTCTTGGCCTTGGACTCTGGCCGGCAGAGCCCGAGACCCTTGGCAATGCCGCACAAGCATGTTTCCCCAGCTTGGGGTGAGCAATGCAGGCAAGTCGACTGAGCTTGCGGCTGCCGTTCTTTGGGATCTTGGGCTTGACCTCCTTGGGCTGGACGAGGGCCTTGGCAGCCTCGGCACGTGCACTCATGGCCTTGGCCTTGTTGGCCCGCATCTTCTTCAGACCCTTCTTCTTGTGCTCCCTGGCAGCACGCACGTTACCCAGGAACTTGGGTTCTACCCCTGATGAGAGTCATATCTTTGTGACTGGGGTCTCTTGGTGCCGTTTCTGTGCCGTCTTCATGACTGGTTGTGCGTGGTGTGATTCTTGGACTTGGCCACGTCTGCACGGAAGCCCGCGGTGCCCGAAGCGCCTTGGACCAAAAGAGAAAGACTGGATATTATGTTCTTATTTCTTTGGGGTAGGTGCTTAGGGGTGGGACTGCTGGGAAGCATGGTAAGATCTGTAAGCGGGTGCTATTAAGAAACGGCTAACTGTCTTCCAGAGTAGCTGTGTCATTCCCACTCCTACCGAAGCACAGGAGAGTTCTGGTGCCTTCGCTACCGTGATAACATTAATTATGACTCTGAGCTCTCCCTCTAGCAGGGGAGGAAGGAATTTAGCCTCATCTATTTTCAGGGCTATCCCCACAACACACACACAGACACACAAACACGTGATGGGAGAAGAACGAAGCCTGGGTCTCACCCTGTCTACACCACTTACCACTGAGTTCTCCATTTTCCTGGATTATTTGACATCTGCCAACCCCGCCATGGCTGAACCCCACACAGCTGTTCCCCTGTGAGGTCCTTCTGCCCGGGGCACTAGAAGAAAAGCACAGATTAATAGCTAAAACTGTTATTCTGCCACATATAAAGCACTTAGCACAATCCCAGACCCATAGATGATGCTTAGTTAAGGCTTCCTCTCCCTTAATAGAGGGGGGAGTTGTTCTCTCCCCTGTGGAGATGCATTTTGAGCTGATGGCGAGGACTGGCGCTGGGAGTATTACAGAGACAGCGCAGCTGCCCCCCGAGAAGGCTCAGTCAGCTGTCTGGCCTGAGAATGGTCTACAGTGACCACTTGACTCCAAGCTCCTGCTGCACCTTGTTCCTGTTGTCGATCCCGCAGAGCCGCAAGCAATATTCCAGTTAATAAAGGGACATCTCCTAAGTGTGCTTGCTCGCCACTGGCCACCTTCTCCACCTCGAAAATGGGGCTCTGGGGTGAGAGGTTTTGACCTTTATTCCTGCTCGCTGTTATGAACCATTGATTCAGGTTGTAAAATCTGCGTCAACCATCTTCTGTTGCAAATGTAAGTCTCAGTGCCTGGCAACCAGTCAGCTGGTACACATATTGATCGAATCAATGAATGAATGAATCATGGACTGTTGGTGATTTTATGGATGTGGACATGACCTGTTGAAGTTAATCGTGCTCTGTGGGGCCATTTCTGCTTGAGGGAAACGTTCTGCCACGGCCAGCCGGTCTAATCCCTGCACACCTGGGGAAAGCAGTTGGGAACCTGGGGCAGGTCACTGGAGCCTTCCTTGGACACTTGGGTCCCTTGGAAAGAACCACCCAGGGTCCTCTGCTCTTGGGTGCCCCCTATGGGCCGGCACACAGTAATGGACATCCAGTCCTCCTTCCTTTACCTGAAGAAACATTTTTCCTAGTGCCTAAAGGAAGATGAGCCCTTAGACTGTAAACTACCATTGAATGGATTTTTCATTTATTTTCCCCCTGGTTAAGTGCTGTTTTAATAACTAATCTTTTAAAAGAAATTCTACTTTATTCCTTTAAAAGTAAATATTTCAGGGTGCCTGGGTGGCTCAGTTGGTTAAGCGACTGCCTTCGGCTCAGGTCATGATCCTGGAGTCCCGGGATCGAGTCCCGCATCGGGCTCCCTGCTCAGCAGGGAGTCTGCTTCTCCCTCTGACCCTCCCCACCTCATGCTTTCTCTCTCTCTCAAATAAATAAATAAAATCTTAAAAAAAAAAAGTAAATATTTCAGCCAATAAACACATGAAAAAACCTGCTCAACATCACTAATCATTAGGGAAATGTAAATCAAAACTCTTGTGAGATACCCATATACATTCATTAGGATGGCTACTATCAAAAAAACAGAAAACAGCAAGTGCTGGAGCGGATTTGGAGAAAAGGGAATCCTTGTGCTCTGTTGGTAGAAAGGCAAATTGATGCTGCTACCGTAGAAAACAGTATGGAGGCCCCTAAAAAAATTAAAAACAGAAGTACCATATGATCCCGCAATCCCACGTTTGGGCATACACCCAAAGAATTGAAAGCAGTGGGACACCTGGGTGGCTCAGTCAGCTGAGCGTCCGTCCATCTGTCCGACTCCTGATATCAGCTAAGGTTGTGATCTTGGGGTCTTGGGATGGAGCCCACCCCCGGGCTCCATGCTCAGCAGGGAGACTGCTTGAGTTTCTCTCTCCCTCTGCCCCTCCCCCTTGCTCGCTCTCAAATAAATAAATCTTTTTTAAAAAGCATTGAAAGCAGAGACTCAGAGATATTTGTACATCCATGTTTATAGCAGCATTTATTCACAGTAACTAAAACGTGGAAGGAACCCAGCATCCATGGAGGGAAGAATGGATAAGCAAAGTGTGGGATATACATACACTGGAATATTATTCTGCAGCCTTTAAACGGAAGGACATCCTGGGGGCACCTGGCGGGCTCTGTCAGTAGACTGCAACTCCTGATCTCACGGTGTGAGTTCGAGCCCCCTGTTGGGTGTAGAGATTACTTAAAAATAAAATCTTTAAAAAATAAAATAAAAGGAAGGACATTCTTTTTTTTTTTTAAGATTTTATTTATTTATTCATGAGAGATAGAGAGAGAGAGAGGCAGAGGCAGAGGGAGAAGCAGGCTCCCCGTGGAGCAGGGAGCCCAATGTGGGACTCGATCCCAGGACCCTGGGATCATGACCTGAGCTGAAGGCAGACGCGTAACCGACTGAGCCACCCAGGTGTCCCAAAAGGAAGGACATTCTGATCCAGGCTACAACGTGGATGAACTTTGAGGACATTATGCTAAATGAAATAAGTCAGCCAGGTGAAGACAATTATTGTATGATTCCTCTTAAATGAGGTACTTAGTCAAATTCATAAATATGGAAAGTGGAATGGGGGTTGCCAGGGGCTGGAGAAGGCGAGAAGGAAGAGTGACTGTTTAATGGGTACAGAGCTTCAGTTTTACAAGACGAAAAGAGTTCTAAATGTATTTAACATCCCTGAACAGTACATTTAAATATGGTTGAGATGGCAGATTTTGTGTATTTTACTACAATAAAAAAATTAGAAAAAAGGAAATGTCTCCTGAGTTAATATTTACATAATTTGACTCTTTTTCTTTTCTTTAACCTATTATGTGTATTGTCTCCAATTTTGCTCGTATTATCTCTCAGGTTACTGAAGTCTTTTGGCTTCATGTTACTGTGTGTGCATGCAGGTCAGCCTTTTGGTTTGTTCTGTTCTGTTTCATGTCATTTTCTTCAGCAATTCTTTCATCCTCTTAGTAGGTGCCATGACTTCATAGATTCATTACTGATTTCCTTTCAATGTTTTATTTACTTCACTTTAAGTATGCAGTGAGGGGTTCCAGCAGGAGGGAGTTTTGGGGGTACACACCACATGCACCCGCATATCTCTTTGCCAAATCTCCCCCACCCTCACCCCAATACACTCCTGGGTTTGATCCAGAGCTGTGGGGGGTGGGGGTGGGACTACAAATAGAAAAGAGGAATCACTGGTATCTCTGCTCAGTGCTGCTTCCCGCCCTGAGAGATCCTGGCCACGGTGTAAGGAGTGGAGGGCACTGTCCTCAGGAATGAGGGGACATGGGAGGAGCCACAGGTCACAAGGAGCAGGTGCATCATCCTTTACATGCTTTGCCTTATTTAATTCTAAGAGATAAAATTTAAAAGCCCCATGAGGTAGGTAGTTTATTATTACCCCATTTTCTGGAGAGGAAACCAGTTCAGGGTGCGTCAGAAACTAGCCAAGGTCATATAACGCATGTGGAGAGGCCCGTGGGGTTTGAAGCCAGGTCTGCATGATCCTCCGGGCCTGTGTCCCCCGAGGTTGCCATTGGCGGCCTCCCCTCGGGGCGGCTGAATCTGCTGGAGGCAGCGATGGAGTCCCCGCAACTGCAGGCAGGCTGGCCTCACGGCTCCTCCTTTCTCTCTTTAACCCCAATTTTGCAAATGTCAAGGGGGAAACGCTGACGTGGGCTGCGGCAGTCGGGACAGGCCACCCCTCGGCTCCCAGAGCCGGTGGTGGGTCCCCGCCCTCAGCTGAGGTGCCCTGGGGCTGCCTGGGCTCCTGGCTCCCCCACCTAGCTCTGTGACTTCAGAGAACGATTTCATGTTGGAGCTAAACAGCTTCCTCCTCCGTAAAATGGAAGCAACAGTAAGGCCTCCTTAGGATAGTTACGTAGATGAAATAAAATCACACTCCAAGTGCTTGGTGAAGACCCTAGTTCTCTCACTATGGTGATTCTCCATCTCTGTGGGCGAACCCTTGGCTCTAGTTCAACCTGAAGGGGGGAAACCCTGGCGGGGGTGCCAGGAAATCATTGCACCACAGTCCACAGGCCCACAGCCCCTCTTCAGGGGAACCCTAAGTCCCTCCTCCCCAGTGGGACAGCCTAGTGGTCGTGCCATGAGCCCTGCCCTTCCGCAAGGACACGCGAGGCCAGGGGGCTGAGGCTTACCCGCACACCTGTTGGCCATTGACCAAGCTGTGCGCCAGGCCGAGGAGACGCAGGGGACTGCAGAGGCTGGGCAGGGCTCGGAGCTGGATTTGCCCTCTTGAGAGCAGGTCTGAGAAGATGCTCAGAAGGGGGCCAAGACTGAGCGTAGCCGTGCAGCCGTGGCCCGGGGCTGCTGGGGGAATCTAGAAAAACGGAATTCCCTGCTGAAAGGGGATCGGAAGGTATGGACAAATGCCCTCCTACTTGATGGTTTCCAGGGGACAAACCACTAGGAATGAGCAGAGGAGGTACGGCTCCGTTGGAATGGAGCCGAGCAGACGGAGAGTAATGCCTTCCCAGAAGACTTTGCCTTGATGGCGGCCTGGGGAGAAAGCTCTCCAACAAGGGGAAAGGGAGGAAGGAAAGCTCTAGTATCAGAGCAGCCGGAGGCTAGGGTCTGTGTGGGAGAAGCCTGAGAACCCAGGGCCTCCTGCTAGGACCGCCCTGGAAAGAGGTTCAGGAGGGCAGGGCCTGAGGCCAGGCCCGAGGTCAGTAAAGACGGACGATAAGCTCTGTTCTGGGTGAAGTAACCAGTCAGGAAGGCGGGAGAGACAGGTCATGTGATGGTTAATCTTATGGGTCAGCTTGACGGGGCCAGGGGTGCCCAGATACTTGGTTGAACATTATTCTGGGGGTGGGGGGTGGTGTGTGAGGATGTTTCCAGAAGAGATTAGTATTTGAATTGGTGGACTGAATAAACCTGATTGTCCTCCCTAATGTGGGTGGGCCCCAGCCCACCTGTTGAAGGCCGAGGTCTCGTCCCATATACGGTGCAGGTGTTTCCAACTCCACATCATTATCTCAAGACTCTATCCTTGGAGCAGGCCTCTGGGAGCAAGAAAGGCGAGCCGAAAGAAACCTTCCTCTCTGCCTGCCTGACTTCGAGCTGGGATATCAGTCTTCTGTGCTTGGAATGGAACTTAACCACTGGTTCTCCTGGGCCTCCCGCCTGCAGACAGCAGAATGTGTGACTTCTCTGCCTCCAGGATCACAGGAGCCAGTTCCTCAAAATGAATCTCTTCGTAGATAGATGGGTGGATGTACCTTAGGCAGATTTCCTATTGATTCTCTTTCTCCGGAGAACTCTAATACAGGTAACCAAGTGGGAGACAAAATAGAAGGTGCATAGAATGCCCGGGGGCGGCGGGGGGGGAGTGCAGCAGGGAGGAGGTCAGGTCAGGCTACCAAGTAGAATCAGCAAGAACCTCCTCATGGATACCAGACCGGCACAACAACGTCTCCTTCATGTAGACTTTGGGGTTTCCAGTTTCTAATTCTCCATGTCCTGAGAGCTGAGGGAGATCCATGTACAAAAACCTCAGGGCTGCTAGGTTTATGGATATCCCATTCTTTCCTGAGGCAGGAACCCACAGCACCTCTGAGAATATGTTACCTGCACACAGTCTGACATGGTGAAATATGAGCTTGACCCACACAGCTCAGTTCTACACTGTTAGGGGCTGTGCAGATTTAAGTCCTGTCCAAACCGCTATATCTAGTGACAAGGCCAGGTGGAGGTGAACTTGGGCCAGATGGAGTAGAGAAAGCTGATTTGGTATGCAATGCACCTGCCGGGACAGGCCAGGCATTCTCTATGGACCCATCTGATGTTCCAGAGACGGGTGAACGCCATCTAGGGCCCAGCATGGTTGGTTTGTAATCCTCCTGGGAGCTTCTTGGGTATAGTTTGAAACCAGCCCCTGTACTCGGGGCAGGGAGAGATGGAAGGAGGAGGCAACCGAGGAGGTTAGCAGGTGGCAGGTATAATAAGCGAAGGGGTCAACTTTTGATGACCGTCCCCAACAGGGTGGTCCCCCTGATCGGTAGAGGGAACGCGTCATCTTCAGAGGACCGGGCAGGTGTTGGCGTTAGGAAAGTCAGGCATGTGGTGGGTAACGTGGGCATGTGGTGGGTAACGTGGGTCTTGTGCTCAGTTTTAGAAAAGAACCTGGTTCTAGAGGAACCAGGGCACTGGGAAGCTCACAAGGCCAGGAATGGGGTCCAGAAGAGCATGGGAGAGAACCAGCTCCAAGAATGGGCCAGGCCTCTCCTTTGGGCTCCCTCAGCTCCTGGGTCTACTGACTGTATTGTAAGTGCAATTCTATGGAGGCTTCTGTCAGCCGCATGACCGATGGGTTCCTAGGGGCCAGCACCATGTCTTAGCTGTCTCTGTGTCCCTGGTGCCCTGCAGCGTGCTTGGCATGCAGCAAGTGCTCAGTGAGCATGTGCTGAAAGAACAGGGGACTCAGTATAGAGCCCCCCAGCATAGTGAACCAGAGCTGCTTGCTCAGAACCAGGCTGGCCCAGAGCCTGGATGAGCAGTCTGTGAGTGAGGTGTGGGGCTGAGATCCAGGCACGCCCCAGACTTCACGGTCCTCTGGCTGGGTTGTTGTGGTCATGGTTTCTAGAGGCGGGAGAAGGAAGGGGATCACTTTGTTTCGATCAATAATTAGACAAAAGTAAATGAACACTTGTGTTTTAGGGGGCTCAGGAAATGAGTGTGGCTTGCTTTGGTGTTTGATTCCTTCCAAGTTGTCTTCCCTTGTGCTGTGATTTTCACCATGAGTTTTGCCACCCAGAGGAGCCATGTCACTTAACGCCTCCCTCCCTCAGCTTCAAGTAGGAGCCCAGGGCCCCAGAGTGTTTGTCTGTCGCGTGGCCCAGGAGCACCCCAGAACCCCGTGGTGAGAGGAGCCGGGGCGACAGACGGCTCTTCTGTAGGAAGAAGACGGGCAGGCTTGCAGATTTTTCCCTAGCAGCTGAACGACATTTCTGGAGAAAGCACTCCCTGCAGAACCAACATACAGCATAACATGCTATCAACCTCTTGCAACGAAAAGGCCAGCCAAGGTGTCTTGATGGTATAAGAAGCTGAGAGCTTGGCTACTTGCTCCTTAAGCCTATTTCCTCTGGTTCCTGGGAGAAACTCAGCCGCGTGTCCCAGCCTCCTTTGCTGTTAGGTGTGGCCTTGTGGTTGCGTTCTAGCCAAAAAAGTGGGAGCGAGTGTGGTGCAGGATGCTCTCAGGACTAGCCCACAGAATTCTGCCATTTGCGATCCTCCATGTACCCCTTGTGAACCCTGGTCCCCAGAAGGCCAATCCAGAGAGGCCACTGTGCCGCTCAGGTGTATGGCTTCAGTGATCGATGGAATTTGGAGGTGTCAGAGGTAGAGAGGAGGCTTTTAGGGTCTGGGGTAGCAACCATAGAGAATCTCTGAGCAGGGATGCCAAAATAGGCAAGAGTATAATTGCTGTCCTCTATTTGGACTCCATCCAAAGAGAGTAAAGGGAGGCCAGCCAAGTAAGGAGGTCCCAGGAGCCATATTTAGCAGAAGGGGAGCCTCTGACTGTTGGTGGCTCTTGTTTTATCTCACACAGCAGGCTGTTCTGTAACAGGTCCCCCCGGGTCCTGGAAGGCCCTGGCAAACATGTCCCCGTCATGGGGAATGCATAGGTAAAAAAAAAAAAAAAAAAAAAGCCTGCAATCCTCACACATTTGCTCTGACTTTT